CATATTTGAATTGACTAGGGTTCTAGTTCATTTCAGGTTTTGCAAATGCGATGAAGTTGCCCAAAAAACAAGTTAAAGAAAGTTAATAAATAATAATGCAATACTGAACTTAGTTCTTGAGGAATCAGATTTTCGTTACGTTTTGATAGCGAAATTGAAAATATTGATACACCCGTAAAAGGACAAGAAGTTGGTGTTGCCTATTGAAACTTAACACTACGATATATTCTGTAGCAAACGCTGTAACTGTGTATGGGGCTTTATTTATCATAGTACCAGATTATAGATTCAAGCAGTATTTCATTAACTAGAAGTTTGTTCAATACCCTTAGCGACGAGGTCTACAACAAGAAGGCAACGCCATCATTAATATGTAATTAATTATTACATTACTAAATGAATTGAAAATAAAAACGACATTCTCCTGTCTTATACGCCAAAGTAAGCATTTTATTAGAGTTATTAAACCCCATCTGATAAGTAATTATTTCTCATATTTGTTATTATCATGTGTACAAAATCATAATAGTTACTGTGTCATAGTATGTACAGGTTATTCAACTTAGTTGTTGCAAATTCAAGTATGCACATTCTGCCTAGAACGCTGTTGGGATATTTTCGTATACTATCACCTTTGGAACACATTTTTCTGCCTGCTGCTAATAATTCCTTGTCGGAGCTTCCCAAGAAGAAAAAATTCAATGGTCTTAGGGCTCCGGCTTCCATCATTCGTCTGAAGGCCAAGTCCTATTATCACACAAACTCGTGCACACTGTGACACGAAAATAAGTGTACATGTGTGTATATATATATAAGTTTTCGAACGTCGGATTATGCTTCAAATCCTACATAAACCTTGCATGGGTTAAGATTCTTTCGCGAGTATCGTGCCCTCGACGGGGGCATTTATCACACACGGTTGATAATATTTTTTACCACTTCCCCCTGGACGCATTTCTTGATAGACGCAACGCACCCTTTCTAATGCCCCATTTCAGCTGCACGCTAACCTTCCAAGTACAAAATAAAAACATCTCTTACCCTGAACAGTATTGCAATACTTATTCAAAGACAGTTAAATACATAATATATTTATATATAAATACACAGGGAAACATACATAGTACTGCGTCGCTCCTTTTCCGTCTAAAAAACAAGTGCGGTTAAGCTTCGACAGTCGCTGACAGCGCAATGACTAGCTTTGTTCCATTTTGCCCGCATTAGCATTATTAGCGTGTAGCATTTGTAAGATAACTTTTAAGACATGGGATGTACCGGAAAGGTTCAGATGAACACATGTCACTGATGGCGCCATCAGTGGTGGTTACGATGAAAAATAGTAACAATCAAACTGTAATTAATAAAACACCACCACTTTGATGCCATTCTGTACAATGTTTTAAGAATAGTATTTGTTTGTACTTTATTTTTTTTTTTCTAGTGTTCGAGTTTTCACTGATCTGGTCTCGTTTACGCTTTATGATAAAATATGATAAATACCAAACCAGTTTTAAACATATGGATTAACATGTTCTCCCTCTTGTGCATTCTTTTCCATCACAATTGTTCATTTTTTACTGGGTTTTTGCCTACTACATTTGAGCTACTCATTGGGCCGTGAGGACGTCAACCAGAAATTGTTAACGAAAGCTGCTGCCGAACTCAGTAGACTTACACTTGCGCTCCGATTTTTTGAAATAACACTGCCCGTGGCGCTGCTACAGTTGTGCATACCATGATTTAAATCGCTGGGTCCCATCGAGGCGACGGCCTCCCAGTCATCGTCAGGTGAATCGCGTTCACGCTCGGCGCTTGATCTACCCAGCAACTCCATTTCGGCATGTACATCAAACAAACAAAGATGCTGGGTAAGCGCATCCTCGACGGATAGGGCCAACTCCGAGCTCATCTCGAAACCTGCACTATACGGAGTATCCCTTTTGACAACCTCAATGATATTTAGTAGATTGCGCATCGCCTGTTTCGGCCGAATTTGCAAGGAGTCGACGCGTTGTGAGGCGCACATAAAGACAACGTTGGCATTTAAACGAGCGACCTTATTTCGTAGGCCTTCCTCAGTAAGTGTTTCGATGGCAAATTCGCTAAAGCACAGAGCATAAGGGAGCTTCAAATCAAGATAAAAAGCAAGCATTTTGATCATCTGAGCCAAATGCATAAGCCCAGCAGCTGCCTCGAATGCCCTATGCGAAGATTCATCAGCACCGGCTGTGAATGCACTCTGCTGCTGACTGTCCTGTCGCTGTTGTACCCATTCAAGCAGATGACCATAGTTACCATCTGCCGAAAGACACGGCTCCCCTATTGAGTACGTCGCGTCGACCGAATGGCTTGAGTAGACCCATCGACCGCGGACATAATTTGTGCGACACGCTTCCTCCAGTTCGGCCAACGCACCCTCAAGTTCGGGCCCCTTTGACGAGCTCCGCATTTCGATGGGAAAAATGCAGGTGCTGAGCACCTGCACCTGCTGGCGGACCAGAACGCCAACGCGTTCGCGTAATGATTCCAGTTCCTTTCTCATATCGTCAGTAGCTTTACGACTCTTCTGTATGACGGCATCACATGCTTTTCTACGCTCGGGCAACTTTTGACGAGCTGATCGGGCTTCTCGACATCCAGTTCTCATGCGACTCATTTCCGCTTTAGCATCCGCTATTTCTTTTTCGAGATCGCGCACCACAATTTGGCGAGCCTGTACCGCCTGTCGTGTGAGTTCGATCCTTTGACGAAGTTCGTCTTTTTGCCGCTGCGCGGAACTGGCCTCTTCTACGAGGGCAGCCAAATGGTGCCGATCGCGTTCGGATGTAGACAGTCGAAGTTTTTTTTCGGAGAAACGCTGGGGTAGTTTGGCCTTCGAATGCGTGATGTCGCCACTACGTACACAGTCAGCGCAGTAGAATCTACGCCTCATCTGCCGACACAGTTGACAGCGTCTGGCTGGAGATGCTGAATAGTGGAGACTGTTTTCAAGGGAATGGCATACGTTGAAATCGGTGGGCGCCGTCGAACTCTCCGATGAGGTAGACATGATCGAAGTTCCCATCGTGGCTGCTGAGTTCGCAAGAAGACCCAACGCTGGATCGTTCAGCTGCATAGTATTCCGGCGTTCGTGTGAATACATCATGTCGAAACAAAAGGTCAAAATTGTGCACAAAGAAGCCTATTTAGGCGACGCAATTAGAGTGAACCAGGTGAACATCCATGAACCACAAAATGATATCGTCGATACAGCCGAAGTCCTTTTTCTTTCTTTTCACTGCACTTCCAAACTGAAGACTATCTTCCCTTCAGTTTTTGCTTTGGCTGGGCCATTCGTGATCTGTATTTGTCCGACCGGCGGGCCAAACCCCATTTACGTTACATAATTTTACACGATTTTTTGCAGTCTCTGCTTTGCAGTCGCGCACGCAGCATGTAGGAAAAGTGGCGAACACTTGATAACATGTGGCAGCTTCGTTATTTGGAGAAAATCGTTGTCCGAGTATTGGGTTTCTCGACCACAAGTTGGGTCGTATCTGCTAATCGGTCACAGCTAGAAATTTCGCCGTTAATGTTGTTGTTACTGCTGGAAATGGGCGCTTACGACGATCGCCTTCTATTGTTGCAGTATACTTATCTTGTGGATGGCTGTAGAGTTAGACCTTCGACCGAATGAAACAACAGCTGAGCAAGCGATAACTTTCATTCCATACAAGAACAATTACTGCGTCACTAAAGGCTGCCTTACGATCATCGCATGTGCCATTCGTTAGGTCTCTATATACACCTTCGATGTTTATAAACATATCTCTACTCGCAGGTAAACACAAGCACATGGCAATCACTTTGTAATCGCTTGTGTGTAAAATAAGCAAGGGAAAGAGTTAACAAAGTAATTTTATGCCGCAGTATATATATATATATATATATATATATATATATATATATACATGTGAAAAACAAACGGAACGATTGATTAAGTTGACATAAAGTTCTAAGTTGAACTTCGTTGAGCCGATTACGTTTGCGCGCCACTGAACCGCGCACAATACGCCCATTTGGCTCTTGTCACTGGGTCGTTGCAGGTGAGAACTGTAGTGCGGTGCACGTGACCCACATCGCTCATGGTACGTCGACTGAATATTGAGTATATAAGAGGTTAATAATGCTGTTGATATTATTATAATTAAAGTTAATGTCCAGTACCTTTATATCAAAGTCAGCGAAAAGTTTCTGCTTTGCTTGTCCTTTTTTGCTAGTAGATTATTGGCAATTCAAGTTCTCTTTACTGTATCATCTTCTATATGTTTAAGCAAAAAAAATTTGGGTAGGCAGTACATGCATTTGTAGGCTGGTTATATGGTTTTACGCACCGCTTGCTGATTTGCCAGAATCCCACTGTCCGCCACTGTTACACCTAATTTCGGATTCATGTATGGACACTCGACTTTTCTAATAAATTAGAGGCGTGCATATGTTCTGATACCAAATACAACAATATTCAATATGGTTTTTCAAGAAGATAGACGCCAGTTTGGGAAGCCCAATAACATATTGCTATAGCGAAATGTAAAAATGCAATAAAACATTAGCTAAGCAAAAAGTATATATTTCGTTGTAGCATTTTCCGAAGAGTATAGCTCTTGCCTAAAAGCATATTTATCAACGACATAAAATAGACCGTATGGGGCCTATGAGAAAGATTTTCATATTCACTTTGTTTCCTAGGCAATAAAAGTCAACTCTACTTAATGGCTTCGGTCTCTTTCAACAGGGCATCGTTCTATTCTTCAAAGGGTCGATAGGAGAACGTTCCTCTTGGGAAATTTTGTTTACTTAGTTTTCATTCGTAGCCTACGATTTGCTCAGGAAGGTGCTAGAATAGATACGTACTTCGACACAAACAGTACTACTTATACAGAGTTCGTTTACAACGACGCTTTACCACATAGTAATCCCTCCTGTTATTTCCGTCGAGAAGGCTTTCTCGGTCCTCTGTTCTTTTTGCCACTATTATTAGAGCCAGGTTAACAAGGTTTTGATATAATTAATTTGTCGGCATCATTTGACCGCAAGAACTTAATCAGATTAAGTCATATGCTTGCTAACTATAATGTTGAACCAAGGCCTGAAACTGCATTGGCACTGGCTAATCTACTACCGAACTATTTGTAAGAATGTATAAAACAAAGCACGCCTTTCTAATTAGTTTCTTTTTTTTTTTTAATTTCACAGGCTTTCTCAAGTAAAATTGAATTTCCGTTTATTGCGCTCAAATAATGGAACTTTATACATGATTAGTTAAATCATAATTTTTACTAACAAAAATATTTTTTTTGCACAGATGAGAACGATCAGTTTCAGGAGGACATCCATTAAAATAAGGATTAAATTAATTAAAAATATGTAAAACATACATAGTATTCGAAGTATGGGGCACTGACATAGTTAACTTTCAGGGGAGTCTTCCGAAGACACTTCCGCCATGTGTGGCTGCCCACGTGGCTTCCGTTCCCTGCAAAAATTCGGAGGATAACGTGTTGTCAACGAACAACTACCAAAATGGCGCCTTGCTACCGTTTCAGGATAGTAACCTCTTCCAACTTGAATTCCGTTCGAGACGCCAACTTTGCTTTGGTGCTGATGTGCGACCTGCGTATGAGTTAATGTTCCATCAGCATGGGGGTAAACAATTACCGCTGCCTCCCGGCAGTGCCCTGGGCGTAATATGCCCCAATGTTCCAAACGAAGTTGACAAGATGCTCAAGCTTCTTAATCTTTCCGGTAACGAGTGTATCGATATTACCGCGTCAGCTACGGATGCGCAAACCAAAACAAGGTTCGAACGATCGTATGCTTATTTGCCCAGCCATTGCAGAATTCGTCACTTGTTTGAGTATGTGGTTGATTTACGCACTGTTTTAAAGAAAGCGTTTCTTAAGGTGCTAGGAGATTACTGTCCAGAGGGGTCATCGGACCGTCAAGTTCTTCACGAGCTTAGTTCGATCAACCAAGAGGGGTATCGAACTGAAGTTCTGGAAGATCGAATGATGATCTTTGATTTACTAACGAAATTTCCGACCTGTCAGCCTACCTTGGCAGTGTTAATTGAGCACCTGGCGCGTCTTACACCCAGGTTCTACACTGTCGCTAACTATTCTGAGATGGAAATAAAATTCATCTATCGTCCTATGGAGTTTAAGTCTCTAGGACGTTTGCTAAGGGGTCAGTGCTCTACGTTGTTCGATCGTCTTCAACAGGTGACTTCTAGGGATCTTGAGACGCAACTCAATAATATCAACTTAGAATCAATCGACACAAAAACGAATAACGATAGCACAGTTACGTGTTACGTTCGGAAAAATGTCCGAAATTTCACTTTCCCTATCAGCCCCGCCGTTCCGTTCATATTCGTCTGCCATGGAACAGGAATTGCTCCATTTTTAGCATACTTGCATTTGCTCGAAGCGAATCCCGATATGATGCCTATTGAGAGTTGGCTTTTCTATGGCTGCCGTTACGCCCATCGGGACGCTCTTTTTGATGTGGAAGCGGTGCGTAAAAGCGGATTCCGATGTCAGTTACGTCAATCGCGAGTAGATCCTATAACTGACGATGTGGGTAAAATTCAACGTGGTTATGTACAGGACGGATTATTGCAATATGCTGATGATGTGCGAAAGCTGTTAGTTGACGATGTCGGCGAGTTGTTGATTTGTGGTGACTTCCAGACAATGGCCAAGGACACGCTATCAGTGCTGGAAAAAATTCTCACAACACAAACGCTAGAAAATCTACTTAAAGAAAACCGAATAAAATTTGATGTTTGGACCTAATTAGAACTGTCCTATAATTAGAGCTAATTAAATTCGGGTTATCAATGTATGTACGTATTATTTATTATTGATACAAATATCATGTTACATAAATGTTCGTTCATAGAATAGAGCCAGTAGAAATTACATTTTAAAAATCTACAGCCTATGAGGGCTGTGCTTGTATCTGAAATTTACAGCTAGGCAATTCTGTCACTTCTACTGTGACGACCGACGTCACACCAAGGTTAGACAGAGCTCCCCGGATCAACCCGCAGGGAAAAGCAAGGTACTGAAAGGCCAAAAAAAAAGTTCATTTAGATGTTATTGTCATCGGCACTTCGTTGTACTCCGTACTAAGATTACTGACCGTACTTGAATTAGAATTGTGAGTGCTTATAAACAAATGAGGGCCTTATTCATGCTTACTAATATCGGAAAACGTGCATACATACATATTAAATACGCAAAACCACTTGCATGCTACAAATATGTTTTTAGATGCGCATGGCGGCGATTTTCGCAAGTGGGTCCCAACTTACGCATGGTGTAGACTCCATGTATTGTTTAGATGATGACATCGCAGCAAGAAATCGAAATCGGAGATCTTGGAGGACGTAGACACCCTGGTAATTTGTGCGCAAGTTGTCCACCTAAAATTACAGAGTAATAGTAAAAAATGTTCCCAGTTAATTAATGTCTGCTTTTGAACCAAACGTTCGTTGATCTGAGTTGTACGAGTCTAATATGATAGCTATGGACTCGTATTTAAGGTCATATTTTGAATGATTATAAAACAAATAATCCCGCCAACCAAAGCAAGCAGAGTTGTTTTATCTTTGTTAATCGCTCTTTAGCTAGCTAGCTAATATGGCTGCATTGTTATGTACCTGTTTTTTAAATAGGGCCGACCAAAATTCCGTACAGATGAACTTGACGATATCGAGTTCTGATTTAAAACGCGGGCAGTCTTTCGTTAGTCGTTCAACGAGTCTGTAGCCTGTCTCGAAGCCAATTTGTTCCAATTTGGATACTTTGGTGTTCTAAAGAAGAATATCAAGCCATTAAAGTGTTTTATTAAGGATTCCGTATATCTAAGCAAGACCGGCATGCATTACTTATCAAACTTCTCTAATGATTCGAGGCGAAATAGATTCAAATTAGCTTACTCGAAAGCTACACGAAATAGAAATGCAAAGATCTTTTACCATGTAGATTCAATTCAAAATGCGAATATTTAATGATCAACACAATTTCAAAAATGTGAGGTCAACAAACATACACACTATGCACTCATAATAATATTAACATTACACGTGCAAATGTACTGCCATGTGATATTACATTCAAACACGCCCACTGACAAAACAAAGTAGGTGGGTTTTTCGTAAAAAGGATGTGGTAGATCAGCTGACGATGATAACAAAGGTGCTTTTTCTTCGCTTGTGAAGAGAAGATATAGAAATCTTATTGCAAGCAAGGCAAGAAGCGAATAGAAAACTCGAATTTAGTTGACGCACCAAATTATCACCGCTGTTGTTATCTGAAGAATTGTTTCCAGCAGCAAAACACCGTGGTAACTGCGAGTAAAGAAGTTCGAAGAGGACTGCTTCGGGAGAGCTGGGTCCTGTGTTGGCAGCCATATTCATTAACTTGAATATCTAATTAACATAAGCTGCGAATCTATCTAATAATGGTTCACGTCAAATCGCAGGTACAGTGATGAAGGTGGTTAAAATCACTACACGCTCACATTTAGAGCGGGCTGTATTCCAGACCCATAGTGTTAACTAGGAAGTTTTTTATGGCACAAAAATAAAGATTTAACCGTTAATGAGTAGAAATAGTTGTAATAGCTGGCTCCACCCAGCGATGGTAGTTCCGACAGGATAGGATAGAAACCAACTAGAAATAGGCTTATTTGATTTTAAACACGAAGTGATAGATCTCTCAATTAATAATTTAGCTAAATAAGACTTGCTAGCTAGGCAGGTGTTAGCTAGGCGACTCGTAGAACACTTCATGCGACCGTCTGAGCAGTGCTTGATACAGGATCGTATCGGTGTTACGAGGTTGGAATATACCAGCCGTGATATATTCAAAATAGATGAACGGGTAAAAGTGCACGAACGAAACTTCTCTCAATTCGTTCAAATGTGTAGAAAAAAAAATTCGCGTCCCTATAGAGCTTCTCAGTTTCACAAAAAAAATCATTTCAAAAAAGCTAGGCAATTTTAGGAAGTCATTCTTATGGCGCGACTGAATTCTAATTCGCATAGCGATTGATTCCTTATATGAGATAATATTTTCAATATATCTTAATAAAAACAATTTGCACTGCTTGGCAAAAGGTCAATTAGAGAAATAACTTGTTCTACTCATACGAACATGCTTAGGTAGTTTAGAAATCAAACTTCAATGCATTCGAAGTTTTATTAATAAGGTTTTGGTTACTATAATAATTTGTTTTACTCACTATAATTCGGTGGCACGTTTCCTTTAATTTAATTTTAGATTAAGAAAATTGAATAGACTTCACGAAGCAGGTTGCTCAGACAGTTTGAAAAATTTAGATTTCCAAGCCTTGCAAGCCCAAATAGTTAGAGACCCTTGTTGAAGTTTATTAACTTCTAGAAATTGTTACAAATTTAATAAACTTTGCATAAATAAGTAGCAGGTTGAAAACAGCCGAACTTAGTCAATGAGCGGCGACGTAAGGACGAGCTTCCTAGTCCGACTAAAATCGGTGTCATGTAAGAAAGTTTATATTTTAATCGACTTCATAGGGCAAGCGCGGTACAGTATCACATTCAGTTTAAGGGGATCTGTTGTCATGGCATCCCTGTCTTCTTCATAGCGACAGATGGTTCGAAGTTGTTCGTTGGCTCACTTTCGACAGATTGGTAAATCTCTGCTAAATTCGAGCGGAATCTTGTCGATGCTTCAAGGCTTTATACCGAAACGTCTCAAGCGTTCCGGCCGCAGATCATCATTCAAAGACAAATCTCCGATGCCAAATTTACTAGGCAAACTAGTTCTTAACACTTACGACACACATTGAACAAAACGTATATGACTAAAAATTAAACTAATGTAATTTGTTGCCTGGGTAGATTTCATCGATGAAAAGTGACCAATGTGCAGTGTCTCAAGTGACATTATGGAAGCTCCACTTATATGTCTATCTTATTGCCTCTAGGTAGGAACAATGACAAATGACTCAAATGCTCGGTAAGGCAGCAAGACGGCCGTCAAATTTCGGAGCGATTGACTCGTGGATTTGGAAAGTGTTGAAGTCGAAAAAATGAGAACGTGCATCAAATGTGTACCAACTCTAGATGCATAAAAATCACGCTACGTGTATGTATATATATATACGTTCTCTATATATATAAATTCAGCAGGATTACCATAAACATTATATATATCTCATGTGCTTAGATCAGGGCGTGATCCGTTATGCTGTTTTTGTTCATTAGTTCTACAATTTAGTCACGTACTGTTATATCGAAGGTACTGCAAGGTAAAATCGCGCGCAAAACCGATTTCAAATCTGGTCCAATACTATTGCACGTGCTACTTCCGGTTCTGTTTCCGTAGATGCGTGACAAGACACCAATTGTGTTCCAATTGTTGGCACAAGACGCAAGCACGCCACGGTTTTCGTCTTTAATATATGGACATGCACACTGTGTTTTCTTTTCTCTATTCTGCTTCCTTGAATCCCAGCCTCGATTTAGGACGTCGCCGATTGGTGGGTGAATTGTTGATCGTGCATCGTGCAGTTGCTGCTGGCGGCCAGCCTTTTGCGGGTCGTTTGCTCCGTAAAGCCCTTGCCAGCTGTGAGCGTAGATCGTAAGGATCGGTCGACCTAGTCTCGGTACTTCTGCAGTTCAGGAGTACAATAGCTACACTCCAAAAGTGGTGGCATAGCTATTCAATGGATTGCCTAGTGAATTTGTCGGATGTATTTCTTTTTTAAGCTTACTTGAATGTAGTGTAAACAGCATATTAGAACAACGCCGAGGAAGTGGTGCGCTGCATTATCAGTTGGATTTGCACGTCTTCTTCGTTGTCTCGAAGAGGTAGATAAACGTAACGAATGCAAGTCCCATTAAGGATAGAATATCGCGGAGGTAGAAATCATCTGAATCGCTATAGTTTTGTCGATATTCCGTTTCGTGAGCCTCCCCCATCAACATTTCTTTAACTAACGTAACCTATACTTAATCACAGTCAGTGACAAGCAAGCTGCTTGCCAATTAAAAATTACAAATGAGGATGAGAATGCCTCCACCTCGGTTCTCTTGTTGGATATGCACTTTTACATCATCCACTCAGACGGCACTTACTACACACCTTCGTAGGACCCATAGTTTCCGTCTGAATCCACCTCATCGACCTCGATACCACGCTAGCAACGGTAATAACAGCAGCGGTGGTTCTGCAATGGCCGCCTCGGCAGCGATTATCAATGATTCAGGTCGTTATGTTTACGGAGTTCGAGTTGCTGGTCAGACTGTAGCTGGACCAGCCAGTCTGGACTGTGCTTCGAATGAAACGAGTGTCGCTTCAATGGCAAAGCCGTACTGTCCAGGCGTCTATGTTTGCCAAGTGTGTAAATTTCGTTCTCCCACAGGAGCAGGCCTAGCCCGCCACGCATATTCTCGTAAGTACAAAAGAACGTGAAGCACACGCGTCTTCGTCGTTGGCTAGGCAAATACTATGTGTTACTAAATCAGAGTGTTTCTGTGATGCAAACACGTTCCCTCATTTTTTTCCTACCGTGTCTTCATAACCCAGATTTGAGAAAATGGCTCGAGTTCGAAGAAGGATTGTATATCCTTGATTTCTGAAGGGACTCATAGACCGGGCTTGTAATTAGATTCCAGTTGTAAACTCCCCTGAACGATATATGCACGTGCAGCTTATGCATGTTTCCTACAAGGCTCAAAAAGCATGATTGTGGATAAGCTTTCTTTATTTCATGGCACATGTGCATGATCGAGAGTATTTTTCAATAGTAGCGATAGTTGCAACCATTGTAACCTTTGAGCGTATGTTTGCGTAAAGTACATCCGTAATCAATGATCTACATCCTTAGGGACAATATTGTCCGTATCTTGCTGATCGAACGTATTTGGTACAGATCAGAAGTTAGCTGTATGCGCGACCTCCATTTCACCGGTACAGCCTCGGGGCGCCGCGTACAGCCAAGGTCTGAACTCGATCGTCGTGAGGGAGCTTCCGGTCAACAACGCCGGTCACACAAAAACAGTTTTGTATACCCAACAAATACAACCTCTGGCTACAGCGACAACGACGCATCAGTCACCCTATGCAGCTGAGTCAGTTAGGTTAGTATTCGATTTTAACCCGTTTTGATAATATAAAAAAAAAAACGCGTGCTAAGAACGTTAGACGTTTTGCTTCTGATGTGCTTAGTAGAAGCACAGTTTCGGTGAAATTATGCGGTCTACGGTATTTATGGCAGAAGATGGCTACAAGAAATTTCAACGCCTATAGGAAATACAAACACAGAATTAAATGCGTTATTTAATCGTATATCCGGTTGAAATTTAGGCGAGCCAGTTGTCTTCGATGTTTTGCATTCGTAACTGAAGGACGTAGCTAATAATTAGATCACCCGTACACAGGTTATCGGAAAGCATAATAGATTGCTTTTTCTACTTTTACCACAGAGAACTCATCAAATAAAATGTCCTGCTTTTCTTGTCCTACCGTTCATTTCACGTGAATAACCTCTGCCCTTAACGCTCCATGACCTCGTGTCACTGACATTTGACTTCATACGTAACATATTTGTTAATTCAATATTCGTTTAGCGTCCACACAGTCCGGTCATACAATGCATGACAGGACTGTGTTAGCAGTAGCGTTTGGCTACTCTTAAAACTACATGAACATAGTGTCCTATTGAGCCAGCACATAATGTTTAAGTGACCTCGTTCCCCTTGAAGACGTCGTCAATCAAATATGAATTGCGCAGCCAGATGAATAACATATTTCCATGCAGATCCATGCAAATGTATGCGCAGCTGAAGTGAAGATTAATCGTACTAGACTCTTTCCTAAGCTCCTGAAAGGGATTTTTAATAGATACGCATAGTCTCATTTTGGTAAATTCGGGTACGAATATACGTTACTCCAATATTAACTGTTATTTGCATTTAGTTCTATCTAAAGCAAGGTATCTTGGTTAATAAGGTAATGGAGAGTTGCGTTTCTTCTGGTACATCGTCGGGCGGTAGTGGCCCCTAGGGCGACTGCGAGACCACGGCATCGTAGCCTGCGTACGTCCGACTATGCACAGGAGGTTTTCAGTGGCAAGACAAGTTACTTGTAGATATTTTGACATTTGCCCATTTGTGTAGTTAGTTCGTTCCTACCGAAAAACTTCTTCCTTGGAACTGAAGGCACTATCGTAAACAGCGAAGCATAAAATCAAGCTGACCCTAATTAGGGGAATTTTCGTAAGCGTTAAGCGGATTCAAAAGCAAACTTTTGTCTTTATTTGAAGAACGGTTCCTCCGTTCAGTACCAAGAGTATTAAGCGTGTTATTCATTTAGATATCCTAAAATGTTTCTCGCTCAGTTTCAAGTACTGCAACAAAAGCACGCTTTTAGTTCCGAGTAATGAAAGTTAAGAACTGAGACAATGAAGAGACAAGCTTCAGTCAATAGCTGTCGTATAGCGGGCCTTCTATAATTTGGTATTTGTTTAACAAGAGGCCCAATGTTAGTAGTAAAGCTACAATTAGAGCTTCTATTGAAATGTTTCTTAATAGAACAATAAAAAAAAGGTCAGTCACTCGCGTTTATTCTATACAAGAACTAGGTAAATAAACGGTTCATAGATCGAAAGCTACCAGTAGCTTATCATTATTATTACAGGGTAGGTGTACCTTTAGACGCGCCGATACTACTATCCGAAGGTCAGCAGCAATTGCAAGAACCAGTTCAGATTCAGGACCAAGCATCAGTTGGAGGTAAATACTGCAGGCAAAAGAGAAAAATATCGCCACAGACGGTTTTTGCCTTCAGGTAATACTGGAAAATAAGCAACCATGACACAAACTGCATGTCTATTCCAAGACCTGACTCATCACAGTATTTAATTAAGTAGCTTTAAGTAGGACTTTAATTAAGTAGCAGTTAGGTAGACAATATATCATATAAAACCGCCGAAACACGTCCTACAATATTCTTAACGATATTCGTCTTGTCTCAATGGTTACTGTTAGATGGTGAGTTGGATCCAGCTGCTTCCCTCACTCCAATCAGCAGCGACCCGTGTCCTGAGTGCGGATGCGCTGCCAATGGGAAATGCGGGCTACGAACCCCTGAACCGGGCCGGATTCTTCTTGTTAGTCAGGTCCGCAGAGTCAGCTGTATTTGGCCTTCATTATTCGATCGATATTGGTTAATTTTTTCTTGATCATTAGGTTACTGTGTTGTTGAGCCGTAGAATTAAGTTCCTGTTTTTTTTTTTTACATCCATTCTAAACCAATACTGAAAGTGAACGCGATGTGTCAACTGCTTATATAAATCATACCATTACGTCAACTATTTCAACGTTTATCAAGCAATGCTCAGTTAAGTTATATTTATAAGGAGCTTGGCTCATGCTTCCAGTCGAACTAACCGCGGGATCCTATATTGTCGCCAAGCGCATCAACTATTTTTCGATCAAGCTACCAAAATGCTATTTCTGTTCTCACAGGAAAATCTCGCCGAGGTGACCGACCCAAGTCGACCTCAGGAGGTAGGATAATAATCGAATTTAAGTTCCTATAAACGAACATAAAAAAAAGCCGCCCACCAAATTATAGACCAATAGCGAACTCAGCACGGATGAGCGACCATCTTTAATAATAGCTATAGGTTAACCACCAGAAGCTAAGCTAACCACTAGCGTAGTTGCGTCCTCGATTAATTAGTGCTTCTCGCTTTAGCTCGATTGTAAACATACTGTTATAGAATGCGAGCCCAATCTACATCGTAACAAACGAATCTTGTTTAATAATCAATCAAACATTTACCTCTTGCTTAAATCAGCTATACGAACTGGGCGCGGATGCTCTTCAGCCGTTGGGAGGTTTGGATCCGACGTATATTGAACATGTACATTGTGAGGAGGGTTTGCTGGAACTTCATTACAAGCCCCCGAATACAACGAAGGTACTCCTGCAGATACCTAGGACGAAATCGGTTATAACAAAGCGTGCCGCATGCGTAAATGTCGTAAATAATCGACTTGAGATCGAACGAATACGCTGAACGTCCACATATGATTGAAAAATTTACTAAGACTTTCCCAAGCTTCCCTTCATTCGAGCTAGCGAATCTCTTTGATATATGAACGCTGAACTACATTAAATAATATTGTTTCTTCTTCGTGTAACACCTCTGTTTGGTCTCGCTGCGTTCATGCAGTCTATAGAGGCCATATGAAATTACACTGAAATGAACTGCTATAACATCTAGTAGTAGAAAAAAGTAGATGAAGAAATAATCGCGACCACTACCGTTTATGTTATTAAAATGTTTTCATTCCTACGATACATACGACGATGGTTTTAATACTAGATCGACAAAAACTTTTACGGCGCAATCGCTGCCGAAACGTTTTACAGTGTATATCTACGATGAGAGGATTACTAACAACCTCACCTGGGGACAAAATAGATCCGTCATGAATTTATCACTGTTTTGCAGACTATCCACCTGACAGCGGTCCGGGTGAACCAGCTATCGTGTCCTCAGGAAGATGACATAGACGAGGTTTGTGCGACGTTTGCAAAAAAGCCATCGGCTCTGACTAACTCACATGCAATTTTTAATTTTGATCTACTCCTGAGATAGAAACGTCATAGTGCTACCATCTGAAAGTACCGAAGTATGGATAACTAAAAACAACATTTTATCGAATACTGTGAATTTTCAACTGAAGATGCTGTTTCCCTATTATTTGTTTCATCGGTAAGGTTTCACAGTCAACGCCAATTACTAAATTGTTCTATAGATACCTCATTCAACAAGACGACGAACGATTCTCTCAGTGGACTAATAATATCGTAGTTTGTAATATCGATCAAATTAACTTAAATTGAAGCTAAAATCTATTTGGTTATCTCTTGAGCAAGTTCTAACATCTCTCTACATAGGTGAAAGTATCTTACTTGTAGTTGACCGTAATTCAAAGTACGTTTTAGGCTCTAATTTGAGTAACTAATGGAAAACCTATAAAAGTCATCGCACGTTAATTGTGTGTGAATATGCGTTTCCTTATTCGATAATGCAACTTAACTAGCAAAGGGATGGGGTCGAAGAAAATGATGTTGGTGGTGAAATATCGCAAGAACGAGTAGGAACCCCTGCGACTGAGAGGAAGGCCGAATCGCAAGGAGACGACGATAACACCGAGCTCACAAGCAGTCACACCAGCAATGCCTGTTTCAACTCTGGAATGGCTACTAAATCTGAGGCCGTTGGGGACGTCGAACAGGATGCAATAATACAGCAACAAATGTAGGTAGTTCTGTCCTGAATTTAGCCATACAAACCTGCAGCCAATACCTGATAGCCATTACTATTACCGACAAGTTGTTTGTAAACTACTATAAGATTAGCTTAGCTCGACAAATCTATCCACTCCATATTCCAAGGAAAAAAATACTTCACTATTGACTCTACTTTTTTATGGTAATCAGGGAAACGGGTGATGATGGGGCTGCTGGTACAGAGATTCCGACTGCAGGTGAGCTTCCTCACATAGTACGCATAGTCATATATACGCTGATATAATTGTTTGCAGCGTTACATACAGATCGTGGAAGATCACTCGAACACATATTTCATACAACAGATCAACAGAGTGGTGTCACTTATTCCTATGAGAACCTAACCAACTCCCACTTTGATAACGGCCGACAGGCTGGCCAAGCAATAAGAAGTTGTCGGCCTTACTCAGGGCTTTGTCTACTGACAAATTAGTACTGAGGCCTTACTCCACGCTTTAACACCACGCGCTTCATCTCGTTCGTATTCCCTTACTAAACGATCGATTTTGCTAAAATCACTTTCTTTATGGATTAATCAATATACTTAATTGGGCTAGAACTGCGCAACAATGTCGATCTCCGCTACCTGGAATAGCAACGATTTACTGGTATAGGTGATAAACATACTTCCTCTCTGAGTTCTGGGGTGTACACGGAGGCGGTGTATCTGATTCCTCTTTCGTTAATTGTATCGAGTCTTTAGTTTCACAAACCATAAGAATACTACTAATTTATTGATTTCATTGAATTTAAGTTAAAAGCTGGTAAGCAACCACGACACCGCTGTGCCATGCGTAAAAGCTATTAAATATACAAAGCTAGCGTGTGAAAATTGGTTGTTGAAGGTGATACTTCTATCTGTGGGAATTTCAGTACTGGTAATAACTCGATCCCCGAATAGGATTAAGATCAGAATCATCACGTAGAGGAAACGATAATTAAGGTAATTAAAACTCCGAAGAATCATACCTTGGCATAGTCCGACAGAGCACCTGACTTCACCCCTTAGGGTAATTACTAGACCGATAACAAGCGTGGCGCTTTGAACCCAGTTGATGTACAAAAAAAAATAAAGACAGTCCAAATCAATCGAAAACCAAGACCGTGATCATGTGTAAATAAGGACGGATTGTACATAAGCTAGGTGGCTGAGAGGTGTCTATATTGGATGAAAAGGTACCTTTAAAAAAACAGAGAGCTTTGTTTTATTGTCGAAACAATTGCCTATGCTATTTTGTCAAATGCAAAAAAAGGCCAAAAAATACTGCATTGACTGACGAATATAAAATCGTCATATAATATACTAACTCAATAACTAGACTCAAATGTGCTCACTCAGATAGACTTTTAAGGCAAGTTGCCTATCACGAAAGCGAGATACTTTTAGAACGTTTTTGGCTTATGAAACCGGCTTTATTCTACCTTAGACTGGTACCCTGAATATCGATAAGGAATAGACAGACACTTTTAGACTATTATTAAGCGATATGGTACAGTTACAAGCATCAGCATTTTGGAGAACCGTATCTTATAACGATAATTACCTCCACTTTTAAGAGTATGCCTCTGACGTAGTCTTTTCTCTCTGTAAGTGGACCTTGATGTGACACAGTGTTTCTTTTCTGGCCGAGTTCTGGAATATCTCTTACTTCCTGCCCTGCCCGAACCTGATATTTCACGATTTTCTAAACGTTTTCTATAACATCAAGGTCTGCTGAATTAGCCGGCTTCGAGTTCCGTGGCAAGGCGCCCCGTCATGGGTGAAAACGTAGTCACCGTCAGAAAGCTATTCCCATACCAGGAGCAGCATCTTACTCCCGATAGCTGCAGCATATTCCTGTTGCTCTACTATTTTCTGTATAAAATGTATCACCCCAGCGTTTTTTTTGACAAAAACCGCAGACTGCATTATGACTTTCGGTGGACGTTCGATTTTTGACACGACGAAGCTTCCAGTAAATAGATCACCAACACGTCTGAAACTGTAATGCGCATTTTTAGTGAAAATGAGGTTTTTCCACTTATAACGGTCCAGTTTTTCATTTGGTTTGCCAACTGAGGCTACTTGGCAGGCCTACTACCCTTAGACCTTGCATCCTAAAGTAGGCAGCGCAGCGTACCTTATGATACCGCAAGTCTACGCTCCCTTAATCTGCTTTGAAGAATATCATACGAGGTGAACCTTTTTTTCTTGGAACTGTTAAATAGTGAAATGGTTCACCCGTTTTGTTATACACTTTTTTTTGATTCATTATATGGATTTTACATGACAATAGAATTTTCCTTCAACTTTCTAACCAGATCGACGACTGCATATTGAAAAATGGTATATTTCTATAGTTTTTCGTTGTGTACAATTGTTCTAACAAAGCAGCCTGCTAATCAGGGCTTTCTGCTCCTCAGTGACGTTTGTTACGCAAAATTAGCAAAAGACACTTAAATCAGTCAAGTTCACCCCGTAATTATCAAGCGTAGACAGCAGTCGCATCTGATGATGAGATAGAACGCACCGGCTGTATATTGTCCGAGATATTAAAATTAAATATGTGTTCAGTGTTAGATTTATTGAAGTTCAATTATAGCAAATTATCGCGCCTGCGATCGTTAGAATACAGTATGTCGATTTTATATAACATGAACTTTGTCAACAGTTTGGAAATGCGTGCTGATGTTTTTATCAATATGTAGGGTACCCGCGTGAAGTAGAAGAGCACTGCTTTCATAAGCTAAAACGTTTAAAAATTTATCATTATCAGCAGAAAAAATTTATTTAACTGAATTTATTTAATTTTATTTAACTGAACACCGACCGTAGCACCTACGCGCTTAATCTCTGGCCGTAGAAATTCTAGAATAGAACATTTCATTCACGTTTCGTAAAATGATACATTTACTTGAAACAGAAGGAGTTTACATAACACCAAAAAAAAAAGACTGCAAGCCATTATATTTGCAGTTGCAAGTGATAGCCACATGTTTAATAAGATTTCCAGCAAACGAAGATAACGAAATGCCACGTAGGGGCGAAAAGGTATCCGGACAATGACAAGCCACGAGAACGTTTTGCACAAAGATCGTTATGAAGGACGCAAATGACTGAATAATTTAGGCCAGAGTCCATGTACGTCTGGAGCGGATCAATAGAATCGTTGATTCCACGAGGAGTTGCATAGAACCGGAGAAAAGGTTTAGTGCATCGATGGAACCGGCAAACAGCCTATACATTTCTCCCATAATATTACACTTATAAATATAATAATGACTTCTTCAATGTAAGCTCCTTAAAGATATATTTATTTTAAACGATACGCATGAATCTTTTAAAAATAGAAGTTTATCCCTTGATCTAAAATCATTTTCCATAGTTGCTCCTAGGATAAATTCATGCCACGCTGTTTCCTGTTCAAGATAAGTTTTTAGATTTCCGAAGTAAAAATCCTTTTTGTAATCCGACTGGAAAACGAGAAGGTTGGTGCATAGTAATAAATCTTGGTTTCGCTCACGCCTATCAATTAAAATATAACTATGTTATTTACCAATGTGTACCTCATTTGAAAATACTCATTTATATGGACAACAACGCAAGTAACATTTGACATTTGAGGTTTTCTTTAGCTTTAATCAACAATTTGAAGCCATGAAGTAACGATCTGACATACAGTGAGATAGTCGCTTTTAACATAACACCATGCCTGCGAATTGTGCACGATCAGCTGGGTTTTTTCAAAAACGCTCAATGAATACATACTGCTGCCGCTATCTAGGAACTTGCACTTACTGTTCTCAACAACACGAGCTGCCCACCCGAACGCGTTTTTATACAAGCAATCGAAAAGCTAACGTTCTCATAAATTTCAGTTCAGGTTTGCTTGGAAAATTTTCAGATCACCTAATGACCGAGGACGATCCTTCCCATGAACAGCTGCTTACTCCATATTAATCATACGATAGGAAGTGCAAGAATTGAATAATTTAGAAAATCCAAAGGTCTGATGATCCGTGTCGCAATACAACATTGCTTTCATTAAATTAATTTCGTATTTCAGGTGTATAATGGAGGCTTGTTCATCATCTTTCCATGCGAGCTGATTAAATAAATTACACAGTCGGATCACCCGATGCCGGAACAGTGTTATTAGTGTTTTGTATTACCAGTTGAAGGGCTATACGTGCTACCCGCACATAGCAATGATGAAAATACGTGCATATAAAGATAGGAAACAAAGTGTTCCATTGGATGCACAGAGCTAATTTCCGCGCTCCAATTACGGGATTCCATATCATAATCGTATTATCTATAGACTAATTTTAGGTCGTGTGAGAAAATTGTGCATTTTCTAGTTCCGCATGGCTGACCCTTCACTGTTCTATAATTTTGAAAGGCATTATATAGTTAGCCACCTTAGCTTATTTTGTTATGTAATACCTGTCATGAGAGAGCCGTAGGCTCCTGAAATGATATATAATCACACAGCGTACAGTAAATAATTTATTTAAGATGAATGTTTATGATGGAGCGGAATTGTAATAAGGTCACTTCAGATTCAAACTATATGGACTTAGCGATTTTTTTCATGGTTTTTTTTTTTATATCTCGATAGACCGATTTCCTAAACATTCTGGGTAGCATATCGTATAAAACGATTATATTGAAAATTTAACCATGAGCACATTACGCATAGAGGTTTATCGCAATTTTAACCCTCCTTGGAGTAACTTGTCAAAATCAATTTGTATTCTTTTTATGGGACTATTGTTTAAATAAACGAAAAATGTTACAATATTTCGTCCGCCAAACAGGAAGCGTTTCTGGATCGTATTCACACAAAACATGGTTACAGTATCAGCTGGGTCCACGCTATTTGACCTAGGTATATGACACTTATCTACAGGGCCACACTATAAAAATGGATAGCAATGTAGGAACGTCATTTTCATTTCGTGTTACCATTCGTTAGACATTTTTGTGAATATGAATCGATATTTTTAAATTGCAAAAATTTAAAAATTTTAAGTTACAAAAAAATTAATAAGCAGCGTTTCGACTCACGGGATCGCACCTGCGAGTATAATTATGAGATAAGTGTGGCTGTGAAAATTATCGAGGTGTCACCAAGGTGCTACGTGGGTACAATGCTGGAAAGCTTTCCTCTGATGATGTGTTTGCTTATTAATCGAGCAGAAAATACAAAACGTGATCAAACGTTAGGAAAAGCCTTTTGTCAAGATGTAAACGCCAAGGGTGCCAACTAATCTCCGAAAAAAATAAATACGTCAAGTTTAATTTTATTAAGTAATCTACTAACCGTCGAGCTCATCTCCGTGTAAATGCCAGTGTTAATAGAAACTTTATTGACAAACCCGTTATATATATATATATATATATATATAACGGGTTTGTACAATGAGAGTAACAAATGGCGAAAAGCAATCTCGCCGGCGACAAAAATGTACATAAATTTTAACTACCAATTAAAGGCGTTCGCTTTAGTCAAAAACTGTTCACATATGCAAGTTGCGCATTTTAAGGCCATGTCTACTTATCTAGCTAATTTTATGATTTAATTGATGTCTTTGCGTCAGATATCGTCAGTTGTTGGCGGTGCTGTTTTTTTTTAGATCAACCATTCTTTGCCGATGTAACAGCAATTGAGATTCACACTATGTAAAAAGTGAATGAGCAACATACAGCCGAGCTGGGTAAATAATCGAATTTCGATCTTTGAAAAAAATGACAGTTATCAGCCAACCTTACCCAAAAATATTTGCGCGATTGTGAGTGTTTAGACCTCGGAGAACCATGACCGTCAATGAACAGTATAGCTGCTCTGTCAACAAAACATGTTGATGTGAACGACACATGAATCAGTGTGTTATCTGACAAGCAATTAGATGAAACTAAATGCTCTGTGTAGTACCTAGCCACCCTAAGAAAGTGCATAGAATCGCCTTGACAAAAGCTACTTACCACTTTTCAAGTGTCTTAAGGCATCTAAAACAGCTAGATGTGGACGTTCCCTAACATTGGGCGCCAGCAACCAGGTATCTAGTCAGTTGCGGAAACACCAATTCGGATTAGAAAACTTACTTAATAACTAGATTTATTTGTTTGTATTTAACTGTTTGTAGAGATGTCCTTTTTTTAGCTAACTTGAGTAGTGTTCTAAATAACCGGAAAATTAGGTATAATCCATATTCAATTTTTCACCAGCAGATTAACTGTTTTTATGCAATGAAATTCCGATTTTCTAAAACTTCCGTAATTTCTCTAATAAAATACGTTCATAATATATATTACTATTAAGGAAAAAGTCTTTTATAAGTAGCTTTATACTTTGCATCTACTGTTTCCACTCAACTAACTAATATTATTATTATGATGACAATAAGAATACTTAATGTGACCGTTTTTGTTCTTCCTATGTAAGTCTTTAAGCAAAATGCATTGACCTTTCTAGATAATGCTACCGTGACCCCTAGGTTGCGGTAGATGTTGGGAAGGATGGTAGGAAGGACTTAGAAACATATCGCGTGCAACCCCGCCAAATTCACTTGATGTTTAGCATGGAATAATTAAAGAATCAAGTTACTTTTTCTTGGACTCTTAGGCTCTAAGGGGCTCAAAGCTTTAAGTGCGGTTACCGTCGTATTGTGCAGCTAGGTCTGTGCCACCTCGTAGTGAGTAGTGTATTTGCCTCTCAAACTTCATGCTACAGAGGCACGTGGTAGCTCAACTGCGGTACTCGACAGAAAACTTAAAACATTTACAAAAAGATCTGTGCCACGGCCGTACTCTCAACGAATAAATATTGCTTGTCACTTACGCTTTGGGCCCGCCTCTGTTAGTATAGGTCAGTTTACTATTCCTTGCTCCGTGACAGTGGGGTAATAAAGTGTTTTGCCCTTGTCATAATCTACGTTCGAATGCACGGGTAGGCACATTTTATCTCGTGTCAGAAACCAGACATCTAAGTTAAGCCTAACAGCTAAGGCATCCCACGTAAAACTCGAAACAATTACGTTTAGTCTACCCCTTTTCTTATGAGATAACCGATGTGCATATTATTACCTTTTAAATTTGATAAGTTCATCCACCGTACAGGTTTTCTTTTTTATGAGGGCTTAGAGTCAGTCAAGCGCTGAAAGCAATACTCAGACAAATTCTAGATGGTTTAACCAACTGGCAAATAACCAGATATGACGACTTCTGATAGATTGTTAAAAACACCTGTGAACCTTGTTGAATTGTTTCAATAACAATAACCTACTAATAATTTTTTAAGGAACTTTAGACTGAAAAAATATTGTCGCACAAATAGGAAACCAGCAAATTAATTGTACGTCGAATAAAGCGCCAGATGAGAAAAACGTATTTAACAAGTTAAGTGTATTGCAAGAAGGCTATTCTGAAAATAAATACCCCTCATACTAGACATTTACAAAATAATAGGTTTAATGAAAATCCGTGAAAATGACAATCAAATTTAACGAAAGAATCTGAATGAAAAACCAAACTTTGAATTACAGATACTATGAATCTTGCTATAATATTTCTTCACAACAATTTTTCTGACTGATAAATTTCTGACTAAACAAAGTATACTTTTTCTAATGAACTTAATATGGAAGAAAAATAATGTTCTAGGCTAAAGGGCTTAATGTGGATTATCGTTTTGCTTAGTTATCTTTTGTATGGTGTTTTACTAGTACAAACATTAAAACGAGCATTTGACAAAGTTTACCATGCTTGATACGCAGCTTGCAGAGCATAAAGATAGTATCAATATGGTAACTCAATTTCTAAAAAAAAAATACAAGATCTACATAATGTGTTTTTTACTTGCTTGTTCCTTTATTGTGCTCCCTGTGATACGTAGCCTCGACAGCTCTGGTATTATACAAACCAGATAACTACGTGATTTCTCAAGATGCAAACGAAAGTAAAAGAAAGGACAAAAGATGCTTGTTTATATGGCATTGTGGTTATATATATTATATGCGGAATAAATAGAAGATGGTTTAAATGGTTAAAATTTTGTACGATCTGTTTCAACGGTTTGTTAAGTAATATCATAAAAACGTGATTTTGGCTATACGATCAAATACGCTCGCGCCATTAGGTTTAACACTGGTTTTATACCGCATTTTTATATTCGATTTCCTTCGAAAAACAGGAATAACGATTTTCGTGCACATCGGATTTATGGCTTAGGCCTGACATTTAATATGTCTTTTCCTATACTTATTAAATGAACGTAAGTTCAGTGATCTTGGTAGTTACCTGATATCAATCCTTTGCCTTAATCAGAGAAATCATATACATCTTAAGTTAATACCAACTGGTATGAAGTTGCCATGAATCGAGAGGTGTTCAATGAAGTATCCGTGGAGTTTCGTGTCTTAGTTTTATTAGCACACCCCTCCAAAAAAAGTTACATACAGTTATATAGAGAATGATTATAGTGCCGTTCTTCTGCATTCATCTCGCGAACGGTGAAGTTCACGGAAAAAATGTGACAATACAGTCCAATGCATGTCTACGAGTGATTTTTATAGATTCTATTGCTTGCGCGGCCCGATTCAAAACTTTTCTAAAAAAAGGAAGTCTGCAACCTATCCTTCATGAAAGATGTCTTAATTTTAATAAGATAAAAAAAAACACGATTTCTACCTTGGCCTCTAAATTTGACATTTTTAACTACTTTGAGTTTTTTTCTTATTATTCTTGGAAGGTTATTAAAATTGCTTCAATGTGTGTTTGGAATTTCGCTGCAGCTGTGTTCGATATTGTTTTAGTGCATAGGCGAAAGCCTATAGCAACGTTTATGAATTCAAGTTACTCTTCAACTTGCACGTATTTTTCATGAATTTATTTCTCGACGATTATTCATTTGCTAGAATACCTACGCTATCATAATTTCCATATGATCTCCTAAAAGTTTTTTATTAGCATTTCTAGAAATGAAAAAAAATGGAAATGTTTGCATTTTTTTAAAGTCAGTAAATTGTCAAAAAATAAAATAGAAAGTAACTTGGCATAAGTAAAATAAGTAAACATCTCGTGATATATACTATTATTGTTTTCTAACTAAACACGACAGGTGCTAACGAGTGCAGCGATAACGAAATTTCTACAGAGAGAACACAGTTAATATGGTCAAATAGGCCATAGACACAAGAAAGCCTCATGTCATAACTGAAAATGTCCACTTCAGAGAATGGAAAACGTGAAGAACTTTTCTAAAAAAAAACATCCGAAAGACAGATCTATAGAACTGGAAATGGGATTTGCACATTTTTGTTTTTTTTTTATAGAGACAAAGTTTGTGTTAAGCTCAAAACAGTGGAGGATTTTTTAAGAAATCACCATATACGATATGAATTCGAACCGTCGAATAGGAGACGACCTAGTATGAGGCTACACACTTTTCGGCTAAAAACTAGTCAAATAAGAGATCTGGGTCTATAAAAAAAACAGGTATATACATATTTGCGTTGTTTTATTCTAGCTTGTTCCCTAATAAGTGCACAGTCCACACAATACACGCAAAATAGGTCTTCGAACCCACCTTGCATCATACAGAAAATATTATATACACGCCCTGGGGTTCAGATATTACAGTGATGAAACCCAAATTGTGAACACAGCATTTATATCATAAGCCCTGGGGTGTTAACTTCATTCTTAAAAACGTACGTAACAGGGGCATGGTTCTTAGAGATACGAGAATAATTGCGTCGTCTTGTATTTCATTATGTTATTTCTTGGAGTGAAATTATCATGAATGCAAAAGCACAATTATAGGTCTTCAAATAAATTATTTATATTTTGTTTAAATTACGTATGGATGTAAAATGTCGCTGAGGACGCTTTCTTGACCGGGGCATCTGTTGTCGAGGCAACTAGCGTTGCCTATCAAGTTTGCTAAATTGCTAAATAGATCCTTGAAGTTTTTACCTCTAAGATTCCTTGTCCGCTTGGACTATTTGTATGGCAAATGCGGCAGGTCGTCTATAATACTTTATAGGAGTATGCTTGTTGAGGTTAGTTTATTAATCAGCGTGAATGGTTTGATTCTGATACATTAACGACTGCTTCGTTTAGAATGTAATATTTTAAATATGTCATTATTTGTTTTCTATTAGTAGATGTATTGGGCTATCAGTTCGACTATATCGAACACGTATCGAACGGTACCAGCAAGGAAAACTGGCAACAGAAATTAGAAGCAGTGGCCAACCAGGTTACGCAACAATTAGCAGTATCATCTGTTAGTTTATCGCTAGATTTCACCTGCCTCCTTACCATGGACGTTGGCCAACACAGAAGACATACTCGTTAGAAACGTGCGACATCAAAAAGGACAGTGCTTTAAAAAACGGATTAGGCCTGGCCTTGCTCCTTACAATGGCACAAATAATGTCCGAAGAGTTCTCGCTCAGTAGGAAAGTACCAGCTATGCAACGACATTTTATACATCCTGGACACTAGTCAACAACTTGTGTAAAGCATGTAACATCACTTAGCGAAAAGTAATTAAGGGAAAATATCAACACCATTTTTTACCTCTCAATCCTATCTGCTTTTATACGTTTCTTTTGCCTGAAAAAGAAACATTCCCTAGTTTTCTTTCATTGCAAAATGAAAAACTATTATCATAGTCTATCCGCAAAGAAAGCAGTTATCACGGACTCGCTGAAAACACTCGGCTAACATGTATATGATCGATTTGTCAACAAGCAAAGAAAAATGAATGGCGGCATTTTATTCAGTGCTGTTGAAACGACCTCGAAGTGATCTAAGCATGAAACAATCAGGCTTCTAGGATATACATTCGAGATACTTCTTCAAAAACTAGGCCAAACACGCACTAGATTTTAAGTACGAACCATGCCACATAAAGGTATACACTTTTCACAGCAATAACATGTGTTTGTTTGATATCACTCCAGTCTCATCATGGAAATAGCTTTTAAAAAGGTGTATTGCATGCAGTCTTTCATTGACTCCCCTGCAATTTGTTCTAATTCAAACGAACACAATCAACAAGGCCTTTGGGTACTAGGTAGGTATTACAGCATGTGCCATCAGAGTTCAGTTCTCATAGCTTCGTAACTTTTCAACTTTCTATCTATTGATTTGTGCTTGCAAGATTGGACACTTCAAACCGGTGTCGATCACCGGCATTGTCGACTGCGCGGAAATTATTACTGCAGCGATGCTCCCTTTGTTTCCAATTAGTTCATTTGCCTTTCGACTCCCTACGCGGCGTATTTGTTTCAGGCCATTTGTCCAGCCCATGTTAAAGAACTCATATGAGTTTATGCGTTTAGCACACGTTATAGGAAAATGTTCGGTATGATGTGAAGCTTCGATTCTCCTTTACGCCTTTTTATTTCAGATGTGGCTTTATATTGGGTTCTAGCTTTAGACAGGACACTACTTATACAATTATATAACCTAATTGAAATGTGTTCAGGATCTTCGCAATACCACGCGTGATCGCTTAACACGCATGATGAGCTTCACTTTTCATAAATAGGGCTTTTCGAGGGTACTTATTGAGTTTAACGGGGCCTTAAATTATGGAACCAAGACCCGAGCATAGGAGATCCGGGGTTTAGTAGCCGACACATTATTAGGTCAGTATGTGAAGTAGCAGTGCAGTGTGATTTGTATAGGGCTTAGCCATTAACCTTCCCGGAAAGAGAAATATCTGGATAACACTTTTTTTCTCCAATAAGTTTCGCAGCAAGTTCATTCGCGCCCTGCCCCTGTCGCTCAATTTTACCTTCATAGTTCATATAGTTGTCCACATGGCTATGCTTGAGCTGCGTAATAGAGATAAAAATAGTAGGCGATCTTGATTGTAATTAAATTATTAGGTAAAAGGCAAGTCAACTTTAGATTTTAGTGTTTTCTATCTCATAACGTTTTACGGTATTTATATTTTTTTTTTTCAAATCCAACATCCCCACAAATATACCGGCTAATTTATTAGTTGTTTGACTAAAGATGTCACTCTAACGGTTGTGAGTCAGTACTATAGTAGTCTTTTTATTCTAATAGTCTTGCCTACCTCAACCCCTTGGCATGCCACTTTAAGAAACTGCTGGACAGAGCCTGCAGCCAACAGGCTGTCACTGCTGCCTACGATGCAATGAAATCACTGCCTTGCCAGTTCTGTTTTATAAAATCGGGACCAGCCGCCTGCAAATAAGTACCCATAACCTTAAGCTGTTGCCAAAACTGTCCGTCAGTTAACTTGACAAATTTATGGGTCGCGTGTAACTATCCGAGTGGGAAAAAGGTTATCTGATATTATAGCGCGATCTTTTAGAAAAAAAATTGTAAAATATTGAAGGTTCGCACCAACAACAGAAGAAGGTATTTGCACTGTCTAGCAATAGCGGATTCTAGAATTTATGTATAAAAAATACAAACGAATTCCCTTATTCTTCCTGTCAGCTTTATATACATATACATACACATTAAAGTAATAAACATACGATACTTTTCTGTTTCACATAAATGATTTATGACTGAAGTCGCCGAGACCATAGTTTGTCCACGGTAATTTATTTATTTGCTAAGCAAAATTACTTCTCTATGGACACCTTTATCCATTCGAAACAGTGTTTCCACCTTCCAGCCTCGACGAAGGCAACAATCACGGAACTCTGTCATAGAGCCGCCCACACCAAAGTAAATAGTCTTTGCGGCAACTATCACCTAAAACGTGATCAACATAAACGTCAAGTCGGTTCTTACTTTGTAACGTTAAGATATGCTGCTGAACTTTAGCTAGTAGGGTCGAGGTTATCCGATAAAAACTCTACTGAGATTATTTTACCCCGGCCAATATTTTCAATAAGTCTACGATTAAGGCCACGAGAGAAACTGGGAATAGCATCCTATATAATATCGGGAACCCCACGTAGCAAATTATAATGTCAATATTGGGTCGCTTTTTAATCAATCCCATATGAAGTGTCGACCTAACCTAACCTAACCACTTGGTTTTTTCTGCTCAGAGCTTCATAGAACTATTGCATCGCCTATCGAATCAGATAAGCAGATAACTTGGCTAGACAAACAATGTAGTACATCACGAAGTTAACAAAAGTTTACTTCGGAGCACAAAGTAAATATATTCAAATTACTATTTTAATAAGATATACGAAAAAACTATCGCATTAAAGTTACAGGGCAAATCCTTCATATAATTCAACTCATCTATAAAGGATTTAAAGCTAAACAGCCGGCGTATTTTTACATCTACTACTTATGTACTTTTACTTCAAACAAGTGCCTCGGCTACTCCGGTTAAATATTGATTGCCAATTAATCAACATAGGAATCGACACTTGAGAATTAACGGTAAAAATGTTGTCCAACATCGATATGAACGTTCTCTAAAACATGCCGCAAAAAATGGCAACCATTTTGTATAGTAATTAAGAAAATTTCTGAGCTCAATTATGTCAAATAGATGCGATTCATGGAACTCCTCAGGTACACTATACTGACGTCCGTTCACGTTTCTAATATGAGTGTATATTTATTATATATTTAATACGAAGCAAGCCACTACACAAAAAAACCTTTAGTTACTTATTCAAGGAACCCTGGTCTTCTTACCTGTCCTTTCTCAGGTACTAGACATCGATCAAAGAGGTCACAGAGGATAGCGTAATTTTCGCGTCGGTAGATCGTCTCGGCGGTGAGAATCAGATCGTACTCCATAGGATTCTATAGAACGACAAATCAAGTAGTAAGAAGAAACCCCGTCATGTTAAATTACGTTTAATGTATCGACAAAGGTTTTCCTAGGTCTGGCGGCTGATCTTACATAGTATTTTAGCATAACGCCATCAATCTTATCCGTATTCCGCTATTCGGTGCATACTTCACTGGTAACGTTTACCATCAGAAGTACGTAATATTGTTCCAAGAATGCAAGGGTTGTTCTCGAGTCCATTTCGCCTCGCTATTAATTATTGATTACTGATTTGTAAATGTAACTTGAATTTGCAATAAGTACCTTGAATAAGGTCCAATCACCAGCAAAGAACCGTACGTTCTGAGTAGTATACTTTTTCTCTTCTACTTCTATAGTAGATGAAAGCAGGCGGAAATTAGGTATAGTCAAATTAGCCAGAACTGACGCATTCTGAAATCACCACCGAAACAATAATATGTATTTAGTTTTCTCCCAGGCAGCAGCTGATAGTCAACAAACAATTCAACAAACAAGTCCTAAATTCTGATAAGGATTAAGCATTTCTCCCGACTTCCAGTAAAACGCAATTTTCTTTTTTTTTTTTTGCCATATTCATAAAAACTGTCTCCAGTTATAACTCTGTTAGATTGATGATGCGATATCAGCTAGCATACATCAGTCGGTGACAAATTTTCCCTATCCTCCGCGTTGGAAAACCTTTCCTTCTTTAACACCACCGTAAAGCTCTAGATAAACGATTCGTGACCACTTGCGTATTTTATTCCGTATTTTTGAAATTCAGCTGAACTTAAATAGTGTAGGTTCCATCAAGATGCTACCTTAGCAAGCTAATCACGGGGCAAATCTAATCGCAATATTAGGAGGATTAAAGAAGAACTGCTAAAGCAATTGACAGCTATTTCTAGCCTGTGGCAACATGCTATTCCCTAGGTAATGTTTGTCAAAGGAGATCAAATGGACTGGCATACGTGAACGTACGTACTTATCATAGCAAGCTGACAACTCAGCGTATGGTCTAAGGATACAGTTAGTGCAATAATTTGCAATCGACTGTAACGAAAAGACCTATCATGACAAAATGCCTCTGTGGGTTTCACATGGCCGTCAGATGCCTACGGGCATAGTCCGGGCACGAGTTCGCCAACAGCAGCAAAGCAGGTGCGAATATTTGATACGTAGATCGAAAAAACTTCTAGCAAGCGCAAAAACAAAAGGCCAATCATGTTCAGCAGACCTTAAAACTTTACAGTGGATCCTCTTTCATGTCGATATATAGCTTTCGCTAAATATAGTTAGCGTAATAGCGAAATAATGTTTTATAATAATTAAAACGAATTCGTTCAGCGTCGATATCATTCGCTATAGACGGGATTCAACTAAGAAATGACCAGTGCTTCATTTCAATTCAATATATTGAATTTTTTTACATGTTAATAAAGAAAGTAAGACTGCCGCACGCCCACACTGAACACCCTATACAATGTGAGCTCAATGTACGAAATGCAAAAGCTTAAGAATATAGTATAGTTAATTTTCGCAGATTATTTTATTCTTATTATACGTACATATGTCTAAATTGATTGTAGGGCTAAAATATCTGTCCGGGTGCCCTACACAGCCGAATGTGGAATCGCGATGCCTAATTATTAAGACTGTTACAATTCTCATTAAAAAATAGTCAGTTCCACATAGATTGCGTAGGCGATTCATATATGGGTACAAAAGCTCAGTGCAGCCTTACGTGGAACGCATACGCGGAACACACATGATTGGAATATGCTGTGCGTTGCTAGTGTTCGATAATATATGGAACCAAGTTTCGTCAGGTCATATATTAAAAAGCGTGGTAAAAATATTTAAATAGCTAGCATGTGCAGAGTATTATATTGACAAGTTACATTGCTGCATAATTCGGTTCCTTGAAAAAACTATGCTGCTGGCTTACGATCACGATATTGTAAAAACCGCGTACGTAATCATGGAAATGAACTGAGCTAGCTCCATCCAGTACCGCCCGTAGTCCACCAACTCCGGCTCCGCAGCCGAGATCTAACACGTGCCGTCCACAGACGAGCTCCTGTCGTTGACTCAGTACGTTCAGCAGGTCGATTGTGGACTCCCATATCTTATAGCCGCCTTCATAAACCTAAATAAAGTTAAAAAATTTAGTCTGAGTAAAACGTACGCAAGAATGAAAACAACACGTCACCATTAGTATTTGACCCGTAGCGACACAAGGGCAGAAGCAGCACTGAATAAGATCTCAAGCAGAAGCAGACAGCAGAAAATTGCGAGCTCAATAGAAAGCTAAAAAAAAGAACGTGTCCTGAAAAAAAAGCTATAAATTCATAAGACTGATTCGCATGTACTTGTCCTGTACAAGACATTAAGATGGGCGTTAACTAACAGGCAGTAGGAACTTGTGTCATCATATGTCGTACCTGAGGAATAAGGTCTGAATTTAGCTTTTCCGCTCGCTGAAACAAGTGGTCATTTTTGCTGGTGATCGGTGCTGACAGATGTTTCACTCCTAAGGTTTCACAGATCGGAGGTGACTCACAACTAGAATCTGACGAATTAAACGCTTCATTAGGAAATACTTCCTGGAAAGGTTCCTTATTAGAACAAACTAACGCAGCATCCTCGGCTTGTTCAGGCTTTCCGTCACTGTTCGTAGCATAATCGCTTTGAGGTGCTGACATATGAGCCTCACCAGTTTCAATATCAAAATTGAACTTAAACATTGTACCCAGTTCCCTAGAACAAACAGAAAAATAAATAGACGTACGAGTTTAGTCATCGAGGTGTTGTTTTTCTTTGAGTTCTCTAAATACATATCAGTGTCTGTCCTTATGCCAATATTCCGTTCGACTAAATCGAAGAAACTGTATTCTTTATATAAACGTTCGGAGGAGAGTAGGCAAGTCCACTATATCGGGAAATATAACAGCAGAATTTCGAAATTCGACTATTTTCGAACTCTTATAGCTTGGTAAATAAAATGCAATTATAAAATGAGACCCATTACTACATAGAAGGCCGTTGGATGAGAAGCTATGAGCCGGTTCAATGAAGCACCCGTTTCGCCCTCATCAAATATTGAAGAATGAAAAATATTGTACATATACGAGAATTTTGTAGGGAAATGTAGACCCATATCTGTTCTGTCAATACATAAGCATCCTTGCTAAAATCTGGTTACTTCTAATGTACGTTACGACGATTTCATCATACCTCCTAGGTCGTGATTCGATAGCGACCGGGTATCAGACCAAGAAAAATTAATCGTAATATACAGTAATTAATTTCCTGAAAAAAAAAAGCAGTATCACATTAGTAGAGACGCAATTTCTTTTATTGAAACAGGTGATGATACGAGCATATGGTTGGTCCATGACCTAACCGGAGGTACAGCCAGTCCTGTGTCAAGTCTGACACGCCCCGACGCCTAGGTAGTCAACAGATAGGTACAATAATGCGGCTTTGGCGAATTACATCGATTGTATTATGCTTGTTGCTACCCGCAAAGTTAATCGCTGGATAACCTACGAATGGCAGTAGTATCACATATACAGTCACTGATAGGATTCAAGTAACCCCGTGAGTCCTAAGTCAATCATTCCGGCAACAGTTTTATGAAATTAGCATTGGCCATACCCATCAAGCTGTCGTTATGTATCGTATATAGATGTGTATGATATAGAATACCTAGAGAAGAAGATATATATAGTTATAGAAAAGTATTTATAAAAATTGTATATATATTAACGAATGAGTGTGATTGAATCAGATGGATTATGATTACATCCCATACATGAATCTACCGTTTTAAACATCATTCCACACCTTGCTTTTTGCGCTAATGCGTCAGTAATGTCATTCGGCGGGCAAAGGGGATATTTGCGACCTAGCGTCGAGTTGAATGCGTTCATCCAGACAACTACTAGTTTTGATAGCCAATGTTCTCCATATACATTCTCTTCGCTAGGGGTTCAACGCCCGACTTACATCCCACCACCCAGATACCCGCCCTCTACTACCGCAAGATGTGCGCACGCTGACCTCGTAACCCGTTGTGACACAGTTCCCGCATCGGCAGTCTCGCGTAGCGGCACTACGCCTAACGTCACTCGACAGAAACCGACAAGCTCCACCCAAAAGCCTCGAGTTGTGAACACGTACTTATATATATATATTAAGAGTTATTTCCCATCTGGCAAACTAATTTACAGAAAATAATTCAAACTGATCGTCTGCATAAGAAAGTTAAATCTTTTATAAATGCTTTCATAACGGTGCAAATGCCTTACATTGAAATCATTTCGCTAGACGCGGAGCTCCTCAACTGACCTCTTCCTTCAGAGACAACTTGCAAAGTTTCGTGCCGAGGTCTAACTAAAGGTGAACAAAGCATTGCTTAAAATGTTGTTGTTATTAGACTTTTTTTTTTTTCTCTCTACCGACCGCTATCGGCATTCTTCGTTATATGCATTTTAGAGTCACTAGCAATATCATCCAGGTTTCGAAACTGACGTCGTCACGGCGAAGGCCTCTATGAGCGGACACATCGGCTCATGGCTACTTCGATCTCTTCGAAGGCGATATTCAGTCTTAATTACAACACTTTTAGGCTTGTATTTTTAGTGAGTTCTAGTGCTCAACTGTGATTATAACAATTAGGAATAGAGCAGTGCGAATCTATTTAAGCTCTTTACGACAGCAGGCGTTTTAGCATTTCTACACTACGAAATCATATCGCACGATACCCACCAAAGAACTGAGACTTTTCATTTGATCCCATGAACTCTGGTTTCAAGCGATCCCAGGGCTAGTTTCTCTATAAGGGGCATACGTATGTGCTCTGGCTTTATCTATGCGGAACTCATATGCCAATGAAATACCTATTTTCTTTTTTTAACTAAACAATGCCGTGCAAGCAAAATTCGAACTTCAGTAGATATCACCGAAAAACTAATTATGATCATTGTCCTAGACGAAACAAAATGGACTGTTATCAAAAAGTCTACCATTGATTTTCACATGTAAAGTAGATAAAAAGCCCAATGAAGGTGGTGTTTGAGTAACATTTCTGCAGTGTAGACATTCAAAAGGGCTTATGCCGATTCTGGCGCATGCTGTTATCACAAAAAACCCTAAAGCCAGCCGAAGACGAAGGACTGAAAGAAATACAATGAAAAAGAGTTCGGAAAAGTCGTTCTGCCCAGGATCGTAGAGAACGCTTAATGTGTAATTTAAAAATAAATATGTGGATCTAAATACTAACTACTATATACCAAATGAACCACAGGAAAACGTTAAATATATTTGAGCTCCATACGCAAGCAAATTCTGTCAAAGCGGCCCGCATCACACTACGTTTTTTTATCCTATTCCTTATTTCATTCTTAAGATACAACGACATTGCGGTCCTTGGAATACTAAAACGGATTCGTCTTAAACAATACTTAACGGCAGTACTGACCATAACTTTGTTTCTTGGCCGACTTTCGGCCAGGAGTGCGTCACAGATTCCTGCTCTTGATACTTACAGAATATTGCTACGATCAATGAAAAGGCGCTCCTCAGCCGTATATGTTCCCCCTGCTAACATTAATGGAATTTTTTTCTCTCCTAGAAGACATCTTTCCTCTCTCCTCAGGCTCGTTTAATAACCTAATGAGATTGCCGACGGTGAACAAGTTAATATCTTCTATAACATTTGCGCCTTTGCCTTCAGAGGGTTTCAACTGAATTTTTTCTGTTAACGTTACTTTGCCCCTCCACCAGCCGAAGTTGGTGGAAGCGATTCGTTGGTCAGAGCATGTTGGATCTGCTACGAGTTGTACAAGGCCTTGTGCAGTACAGATTTTGAGTTGCGCATCCTTTAGGCGTCTCGTCAGCTGCTCCAGGACTTTGGAAAGTTACATAATCGATTTGTGGTTGGCTGACATTGCCTGATACAAAGTCTCTGTGTTATAGGCTTATGAATTCTTGCAGCTGCTCGGTTAACTTACCCGATCAGCGGGAACTATATCAATATCAGCCATATCGTTCCGTGGGAAAGGGTAATAATAAAGGCAGCCACCTCAAATGAAAGGGTTTTCAGCTTAGCACATGAAAGACCTCTTTATTACAGGCAGGATAACAAAATAAAATATAAGCTAACAAAGATATAAGATAACAACATTTTTACGTATGATATATACGTGAACATTTGCTCAAAAAACAGAAGGTTGCCTTCTCGTAGCGTAATGCAGGAAAGCTAGAGAAGAAATAGCGTTATACTCATGGGAACATAAACGGACTTACAGCACAGCAAAAGATTCAACCTCGGCTGTAGGCCCACCTCCTCTTAATTTGGAAGCCCAGTTGTGCACTAACATTTAGCCCGACAGCAAGTCTACCGCTACCTGCTTTCTGCTCTGTCCCAGCGGGGCTGCACGAAGGATCGAATGAAGAACCGTGTTAAAATGAAAAACTTGTGGCTGCACGTTTCCAATAAACACACGCAAACTATTCGTTGTAACCATATGGAACTTCGCCTACATTTAGATTTTCTCATACAATGCATCTCTTGGATATAGAATTCTGTCTGCTTTAACAAGTCCGCGATATACTGCTCAAGCGTTCTTTGCTGCTATGGTCTCTTTCTGCTACTTTTTCATTAGTTTATTTAGATAAAGCAAAAATATCTCCATTGGCGTCCTTTGTCGCATCCTCTCAAACATGTCTATCGCCTTTAGCGCGTGCTTGTGGAAATAAACCCTCTGCTTAAAGCACTAATGACGTACCAGCCACTAGAGCTGCATAAATGTCAACCTTTTTTCGACAACATAATTAAAATTTGACTTTAATTCAATATTATGTGATTAATCTCAATCAGTTGTGTGTGAACGTCATTGTGTACGAGGTCGGTACATTTCGTACCAGTCATATTTCTGCAAGATTTGCATAGGCTCGTTTTACCAACACTTACACAGATCCACTGTAATAGTGTCTTCAGATGTTGCCCTCCATTCGCTTTTAGTGAGCAACCTCTTGCTTTCATTGCTCTCTCACGGCTGACACATAAACTCCAGTGAACGCTGCAAAGTCGTTAATAGGTGGACCAACGACACGAACGACATTACGCAAGCCGTAAGTATTCGACCTTTTTGGATCGATCGCTAGCCTCCGCATTCCTGTCACCTTGACAGCCGGTGTAAATTAAGGGTCATGCATTTACAGGCACAGCAGCACCTGTTATAAATTGCGAGCCTTCATCGCGTTTACGCGTTTCTGCCACGTATCAGCACGAAACTGACCCATTTTTCGATGACTCCCGGCTAAAAGCTATGCAACCCAATGGTGTCGCGATAACGGACACTCTAACCTGGGCAGATGGCAGCCTTGCGAATGATGAGACACGTTGACATCTAACAGATTGCCTGTGTCAATGCATCCATGACAAATATCACCGAACCAAATTACATGGTAGCCTGACAGAGGATGCCGGCGGGACGTCTGAGACAACATACAATACCTGTCTCACGAACGTGGATCATCACAATGATCTTAAAACAATTCGGCCTAGGAGGCTTTCTCACGGCTTGTTTGATGGACAACAGTTAAATAACCTAGTGGATGGTCTGCTACATTCCTGCAAAAATGGGAATACCATGCAATGGAGCAGGATAAACACTCGAATTTCGTTCAGATGCCAGTCAAATGAACCGTAATTAGTTTTATTCATTCGAAGTGCGAGCTGCTGCGTTCACGAGCGAATGCAAAGTTAAGTGAGTATATCCTTATGTGTATTTTGAATGAATACAAAAGATGGCGTTATCAATATAGGTAGACCCATAGGTGTTTCATGGTCAAAACGTCAAAATCAGTTGTAGATTATATAGAAATAGTAAACAATCACTTTAGTCTCAGGATTATACATATATATATAGTTGTAAAGCCTGAAGCCTATTTTAGGTATATTTGTCTAACTACAAAATTGTCATTCTGTCGCAAATTTCTACTTGGAACCTAGGTAAATAATTAGTGACAGGAAAAAAATTAGCTTGAAAGTCTACGAGTACTGCTGATAATATTTTCAACTGATTTCATGACGGTTGATTAGGGCTACTTTGCATCTCAAAGTTAGCATTACCTTGCGGGTGGCATCTAGTGCCCGGGACGCAACACTTTTCGCGAAAGAACACAATGTTACCGGGGCAGGATGAGCAAATAAAATGTTCGTACAATTTGATGATTGGTCTGCCAGATACTGAGCGCGTAAATCGGGAATATTCTGACTGGTTAAAGCAAGCTAGAAACCCTATCGAAACTCCAAAATAGAGAGGATGATGTTTTAAGCTTTTTCCTCATAATAAATAGCTCCTACATTTACAATAATACGATCACTGGAAAAAAAGTTTTGCTACGTATCATACATTAATGGGTCCAAGATTATAGGGAATGACAACGGATGACAATTTAGTCCACAAATATTTCATTAGATAAATCAGGACGAAGCATAAACGATCGCTCGCATCGATACATTTTCAATCGACATATTTATAAATAGAAAAACGAAAGGCCTACGGTCGCTATTCACATCCTATTGGAGTCCATTTGTACTGTTTTTGAGACAACAAAAAATCCTAAATCGTTTAGTATTCATGAAATAAAATAGAAAGGCAAAGCTTATGCTATCAAGCCCATTTTAGAACTGCAGATGATCAAAACGTGTAAGGTTGAGGAGACTTCGGCCAATGAACACTTAATAGGCTACAAAGTACAAATTGAAAGGGCTATGTATAAAGCAAAGATAGATGGACAAATTAAGGTTCGTCATGCTAGAGATGAGAAGGCGCGTTTTTTCAAATGCTATACTCGAAAACTACCGTAGAAAAGAAGAACTGCCCCACCATAAACTTCACTTCGGAAAGATCAGCACTCTTTACCATGACAAGAACACATCGACTCAAAAAACCATACGAAAGGTTAATCAATACTGGAAACAAACAATTAGTACCGGAGCAGTGGACAACGTTCACAACGAGGAAAGTGTAAAAGAAATGTGTACACACATATACATGTATATGTATATATATCTCTAAGCTTGAAGTATATTTACTTAATTCCGAAGTTATGATTTTAGCGTATATCACTGTCGGGCCAGATCACACAACGCCTGCCCATGGTAAACCCAATAGTTAGCTATATTTTAAATTTATGTAACTGCAAAATTAGGTAACAATTTTAGAAATCAACGGGAAATCTCGCATTTGATCCTACGAACTACCAGGGTGTTCCCTTGGAGCGTATTGACATTTGCGTTGAATTAAAGACATTATATTATGCAAATTTAGGTCGGAATTTCTGAACACTATCTAAAATTTAAAAAAAAAATCTATAGACTACGGCTTCAAGACAGCATGTGAAATGTCACAGGAACTTTTTTTTCAATCACAAATGATGTTTATATATAATAGATTATTCCCAGTAGTTTTTTTTCTTTATCAAAGACAGTAGAACATTCACTTCTTGTTCAAAATATTTCTTAAGTTATCTACATCTGCACTCGTCATTAAAAGATACTACCACAATTAATGTATAAACAACACAATAATGTATAAAAAAAAAGTTTATCATTATATAAGTCCCGTTTAACCGAACTTTAAACCAATTTTTCTTTACTAATTGAGTCCATTGACCGGAATGCAGATCTTAGTTGATACAAATCTGTCACATCCCTATTAATGTGCTGCATATCGACATATTTAACCGTTGAGCTCGCACGCCTTTCGAGCCACATCGCCGTAAAAGGCGCTCAGCAAACGGGATTCACGACAGCGCCCTCAAGCGGTCGTTTCACTATCGCTGAGGTTCACGCCAACGGCAGACCATCGACACCCCATCCAGTTGGCTATGTGACACCGAACGGAACGGTGGCTAATAGTTTCGTTGAAGCTCTATTGGAAATACTTATTTAGGCAGGAAAACTACATCACGCGCCGCATAAACTCAAAAATTCTGGCTAAAATATTTTTGGATACTCTATTCAGTTAACGGCTACACATGGAGCAGGTGAGTAGTATGCGGTACTACTACGGTAATACCACGGTATGCTTTAAGGAAAATTGCAGGTCCTTCGCACCGGGCAAAGTTTGCTCTTCTGCGAACATGTGTCTCTAATATGACTGGTAAAAGCTGTATAACGATGTTATCCATACTTCATACCGGCTATGTCTTAGCATTGCGAATTTAAGCAATTCACGTATTGGGAATATATTCACTGAAATTCGAAATTATGCGAGCTGTTTTAATGTGAATCTCAACATCTATATAAATTTCTTTACGATTTCTTTACGAGGAGTACAACCGTTCAGTATCGTTTAAGAAAATTTGTTACTTAGCAATTTCCGCCTACGGTCTGTCTGTATAGAATGTGCATGAAAGCTAAATAATGGAACATCAAAAGGAAATGTTCTGTCTACTGGAGTGCTTGCTATGGAAGTGTTCGATTACCGAGTGGCTTAAAACGCACCACTCTCGGTTCGATTATGGTTTGATACTCAAACACCCGAGATGACCGCTTGATTCATTAAGTGCAATATACGCCATCTTTACTTTGTTCTATTTGTTGCTAACTTAGCTGCATAATCAGTCATATTGCATCTTTTCACTACAAACGTGTGAAATTTACTAACGAACGGTGATTCTGATAATGGACATTACCATGGGGCATAAAATAGCACTTAAAGATAGACCTGCATTAACCTGTATCAACAACTTCTTGAAGAATGAACGACTGACTGCCAAACTTTTTGGGCAAAGCCTAGCGGTCCTTTTTTAGTTGTAACAAAAATAAATAGGTGACGACTGCTACGTTAGGTATTGTATAGCGAATGAATGGGCAGTTGGTAAGTTAAGTTTGACATGATAAACAACGAGGCCTGGATCTGGACACTCATGACAATGAGACAAAAGAAAAAATTACTGCACACTGAGGATATTCTATTTTGCTATAAAAATATTGAGAGTTAAGAGGTTACAATATTTTATGCGTACATAAGCTCGGTGTGGAAACGTCGTGTGTATCGTAGAATTTGAAACGCAATTGAAAAACCAATCCAGAGATGTCTAAAGAAGATGAATGAAATGCTAATCATGTCTAAAGCGGTGAAATCGACCCGCGACGTCACCCCTCAATAAAAGAGGAAGGCCGTAAACTTCTTATCCCCAATATGGCTACTAACAAATGCTACCATTCAACGAACCGAAACCGAAACTTACTTCAATTTTTGCGAGATCACTATGGACCAGGGTAAATTATCATTCTGTTCATAAGGCATACTTGAAATAATGTGATACTTACACCTTATTTTATTTAATCAGAACTACAGAAAATAATATCATTGCTGACGCAGTGCATTGAGTTACCCGACGTTCATACTTAGATTGAAATCAGGTAAGTTTAGGGGGGTAAGGTCCATATGGCTGATTCCAAATGTCAATGATGAAGTATTTTGAGTTTGACCCACATAATTTGCTGAGCCTGTTAATTGTGCGGGGTACTGAATAACAGAAAATCATTTAGCTTTTCGGACACTGCCATTATATTGAAGGCACTAATATCGTGTATATATATATATATATATATATATATATATATATATAGTTGCAGGAGAAAGACTCAATCACGGGCTAAGTGAGTTCATCATATTTTGAACTGAAGGGTGTCCGGGCCCCGACTGGGCGTGGCGACGCCCTCGGTGCGACGGCGCCAACGTGGCGATTGTGGGGGGGCCATCGGTGCCCCAGAGAGGCGGAGGTGTCTCTGGGCAGACATCCGGGGCCACCACTAGTGGCACTCCGGCAAATCCAAATGATAACTCTACCACCCCAAATAGTGGGGTGCCCGCCTCCGCCTGGTACTTCTGGTCAGCGCTTGCTATGGCCTCGTTCTCACTTGTCGCACTCACTGTTGTTATGGTGCTTTGCTGCCGTCGACAGAAACGCTTACTCATACTTAAGATGGGTCACCACTTACCCAAAACCCCACTTAAAACTACCGGTAAGTAATAAACGTTGCTAACAAAACTAACATAAACATACGATACCATAAAAAAACATGTAAGAAACTTATACTTGTGTCTATGTGCTAAGCCGTACAAGATACGTTGTCTGAAAATGCCGTTAAGAAACTTCCTAGCAGCTATTTGACTTGGCTAAGAAATATGTCAATCTGCTTTGCTTCTTCCGCAGAGGAAGAATGTGCCATTATGAAATCATATATTGTATTGATTTTGTTCAGTTTTCTTAGAAAACCATCGTTTCGTAGTGCAATCCGCATTCAGTTTTAGAGTTTTATTTTACTGGCTGCTCTAACGCTACATTTCGAAGAGACAATCCAAAAAGAATATTTGCTTTAAATAACCTTAACATAGGTTTCCAAATAGCACCAGCGAAAAATAAAATACTATCGCCGATAAGAATCATCATCAGTACTCTTAAATATGCCGTTAAATTTAAAGACCTGTTTTGGGGTCTGCAATTTATTTTTGAACGATTCGAGGCCACGTACCCGCAAGGAAACATTCATTACGTAACAAATAGACTAGTCAGGGCCCAACTTGAGTCGTGCCTGGACCGATGCCCACCATGTCTCCAATTTTTTTTCTTCACTCACTTATACTAAAGGAGATCTATTCCAACTATGTCATCATACAATCCTATCGCTATAGCTAGACAAATTGACAGTACTTAAGGAAGAAGATACTGAAGGAATAGCTCACACTCTAGTAATTTCAAACTATTACTGGACTCTACATCGACACTAAATCTACCGCTAACACTCAATTTGACCTTTCCCACATATATATATATATATATATATATATATATATATATATATATATATATATATATGTGTATAATTCGGTAAAAGGATTCATCAGCTGTCCTTGGAGAATCCGGATAGTCTTACATTGTTGGTATTGAAGTCATAAAATAGTTGGATTATATGTTTGGCTCCTAAATCGTAAATATGAAGAATGATTCTCACTCTTGGTACCTTTATATTTTTAAGCTGGGTCAATGAAGTAGTATTATACATATATTTATATATATATATATATAACACTACTACTCAATTAACATCATAGGTAGCCGTCTATCTATTGATAATGAAGTTGCTATACGAACCGAAAGCTTCAACACTTCTCCCAACATAGCTTGAATTGGCACCAACTTCCTTCCTTGCCATCATGTATATGAACATTTAATTGCCCTATGTACGAGAAAAAGTTCTCTGTAGAGCAGCTTAAAAATATTGAAATAGTAAAAATGAAAGTCATCCTTCATATTTACGTTTTAGGCACAGGTACTCCAGCTATCTTATAAGCCCAATACAAACAACCTAAAACTATCCGGATTCGCCCAGAACAGCTGGTGAACGTCACATTTCTACCGAAATTCTAACCGGTGCGTTTAAAACCGATATTACCATATCTCTACCGAAACGCATTGCAATGGATTTACCTTCATACTTCCGTGCATACCCTTAATAACGTGCCAATACTACCGCAATTTCCCGAAATCATAGAAACATCGGCTTTGGATTTTAAGTAGCGCATTATACAGCTACTTCAATTTGATAACTCGTTTGTAAAAAAGATTCTTAGTTTAATGCAAAATGGTCGAAGTTCATCTTAGGTTGTAGAGGTAAAGTTATTGTCATGTTCACGTATTGTCCGGAAACCTTAAAAGACAAACAATTGACAAGGTAACAATTTAATTTAAAATAGATGTTACGCGGTCAAAGCTGAAGTTGTCCGTCTACCCAGTTATATGCCCACACATGTGTATGAATATGTAAATAAACAACAAACCCTCGAAGGTCAATAGAAAACACATCAAATATTCTAATATCAAAATGAATCATTGACTAAGCTCTTAAACAATAACTTCTATAAAATGTAAAGTCAGAGGAAATTAACCATGTAAAAGGTTTTCGGGACAAACTGCGAAGATGAGCTTCTAATTCTGTCCTAGAAAAAATAAGCTTTCTATTAACATCAACAATAGCTGAAAAAGCATGTTAAAATTTCGGTTATTGCATTATGTATATGTGCATATACACAAAGTGCATTCGAATATGGACAAACTTCGGCAAGTTGTTCATTGTAGGGGGCATGTGTTTATTCCATATGTTTGGTACAGGAAAATAGTTCTTTCTAGCACAAGGCAACCGACCCACCATTCCAAAAAACCGAACGATTTTTTCGGAGTTTAATCGAGTATCGGCTATTTCCCAAGATTTTAACGTTGGACAGAGGGTCAACGGGACCGATATTTTTTTCACGAAATCGACGGTCTACGTTATTGCTAGTTTTTCGAAGGTTTTTGAAAAATCTGAGGTATATTTCTACGAGGCAAGTCGGAAATCCTCCAAAAATTAGTCAAAATGGGTCCAAAAATCGTTTTTGACACACTTGGATTTTTAAAACAGAAATTAACGTTTTGTTTCGGGAAAGAAATAAAAGAAATATCAGTTACCGGTTAAGTCGTACGAATAAGCTAGAACGGTTAAGTCTTTTAAAGACTCCATGCACCGCTTTGCACCTGTAACACCATCTGGCCATTTTTGACTTTTCGGTACTTGCATTTTTGGGACCTATCGCCTCCATTAGTCTAACATTTCATTCGGGAATTTGTTCTGTTTAGTGTATTTAAGCTGCACTTGTTTACGCTAAGACTGGTTGAAGCACGGTTACTGTATAATGGTAAAACTTCTTGTTCGGAGGTTAAAGGAAAAATTATTCGAAACTAACTTGTATGATTTGGGTGTTGAACTAACGATGCAATTGCAGTTATTATATTACCGTTTGGTTTTACACTTCTAACGCAGGTAATGCTTTTCGAATGTTTCCGAAACAACAAAGAGAAAATCCGGATTTAGGTCAAGCGCCCTGTATGTGTAACATGTATGAATATACATACTATAAATTACGACCTTTTCATCGACACTTTCGAGAAATTCACATGAAAGTAGTTCTGAACGCATCTTTACTCCTGTATCACGTGGTGACACTTTAAGCTCTCAAATGGTTTCTAATCATTTTCATAGGTAAAATCGTTTCATATGTAGGGACATATACTGCATTTTCACTCAGCTCGTCGGAACCTCTCTGCATGAGAAGTTTTCGCCCTTTGGGGGCATATTAGTAGTCCCACTAAAATATAACTCGCCTCAGCCTCTACAACTTTCTCAACATGTATATAGAATCCTAAAAAATAATAATTTATAAAGAAAAAAATATTGCGAGAGTCGACTTGGATCGGATATGAGATTCTAGTACGCGCGGGTTTCGTTTCAAGCCTGTCTTGCGTTCGATAATTTAATTCATTGATGTTGCATTTTGTTAAATCTCAGCTATGGTATGCTGTGACAGTTATCGCCTTACAGCTGCCCGGCTCATGTAACCCGTTACCCTCTAGCAACTATTAATATTAACAGATTTGATTCGGGTTACACATAGCCTAACCTTACACAGAATCTGATCCAAAAATTTTCTTAAAGAGTTATTTCAGACCATGTTACAACCCACTTTCATCTTAACGATACCAGTGTTAACTAGTGCTTGATAGTCTGCCGGCAGTTTTTGTGGGAGCGTAATGCATGACTGTTGCCGTCCCGTCGAAACTCTCCAGTTAGCATAAAAAATTTTACCACTCGCCTCCAGTAATTAGTTAACCTGCTAGAACAATTCTGATTTTTTCTTTTTAATATTTTAGTAGCCTCCTTAACGTTCTCCAACAGATCTATTAAACACCCTGTATGTATCCTACTGCTTAAAGGAGTAGATAAACTTGATTTAAAAATAGCCAACCAAAAGGTTAACTCAACTCTTAAAAATTAAACTTCGGCACTGCGCGCCACTTTAGTCTGAGGCCATGCCTAAGCCAGACTATTTAGTCTTCTACAGTTGTTCCCTCCTCCCGACGGGACCCATGTGGAATAGAAATTCGCCCCTCGTGCGCTGCTTGCGTGTGAAATGTATTTTCATGTTCGCAGGGTAATCGTCTATTAGGATCAACAATGATGCAAGCGTCTCTTCAATCTTCAATACAGCTCTTAGCTGTTATGAGGTAGCGAATGTATAAATTGTTGGCAAAGAAAACCGTGTAAGGATTTAGCGATGGCAAGACGGTCTACACGACTCATAAGTTGTACACGCCGTTCAATGCTGTCTTATGTATCCATTGGTCGGGTAGGGAAATAAGCGGCATACGTGATAGGTTGGATAACTGTATTTATCTAGGCAAAATTTGGAATGGAGTAACGCCGCAATACGCTTTTTCTCGCTGAACAGTTTCCTCACAAGCGTTGTGCTGAGACACAAAGTGCGCACAGCTGCCTGTACAGCATAATAGCTTTACAAAGTCAGCCTTACATCGTCGCGCCTTGCTCGTAGTAGCACGCGATATTGATCAGCCTAGTTACTGCCTGTGCCCCTATGCTGCCTGGTGTCGAATCGAGCGGAATCGCGTACCATAGTAGGGGTAGGAAGGCGTGGTGAGTACAGGAAGGTAAGCATATGTCGGATTAGATCCATGTCGGGGTCAGCTTGCCCCAGGATGAAACAACATCAACCCTAAATCAGTCCAATCCGTCCTCGCTAGGGAATCGATTTAGGTCGGACCAACTCGCTAACCAGTAGAGCACGAGTCGCGGGCTTCGCCCCACGCCTGTTTTGTTATTAAACACATTTGATCTGCCTAGAAGTAGAAGGCTAATTATATTTATAAAAAAGGAAACGTCGAATAGAAACGAGATATTAGATTACAGCCTAATATCCTTTTCCACAATAATAATAATAATCAGAATTAGTTTTTTCATACAACACACGTTGAGCGCTTCTATTCACTCAAGAAAAGTTGAGTTTACTTGTTCCCTAAGTATAATTTTCATAGAGATATACATTTATACACTTGATGATATACCTACGCAGACTATGCCGGAAGCCGCTTTGGTTTTTCCGAACGGCGGCGAGCGTGGTGTTGTTTTCAGAGTAGTAAGCTACAAAAAAACTTGTTGGCTTCGGTTTGCGGCCAACTAAAATAACATTACGTTCTATACGGAGAAATAAAGCTTACCCTTTAGAGGCCAAGGTATTTGCCCAGCCGGATTTATCTTCTGTATAGACCTCTAGAGACCCACACAAAATTAATCCAATCCATTAATATATATATATAATAATTTGTTGGTTCAAGCTGCACGAGGAATACACCACATGCATTTCCAACAGGCGCGGAATCAACTTGTTGGAGACGCATTGTTTAACCAGTTTCCGCAAATCCAGTAACGCGTTATCATCGAAATTCCTGCTTTGGCCAATAGAGCCTTTAGGCTCCAAGCCCTATTTTTGCAAAAAGCCCTTTCGACTGCGTTCTTCAATGTGATGGTGTCCTTCAGGTCAAGCAGGTAATACCTGGTCAATTACCTGCTGATCTTTAACACTTCAGTCTTAGTTTTTGAAACTTTTGCATCATAAAATCCATTTGCCTAATGCCTTTAATAATTTCGATGAATTCCCGCAGCGTTGTGGTCTTCGAGGCACAAAAACTTAACCACTGAGCAGTGATTCTCAAGACTAAGTATAGATATTTTTCTGAGCTTTTCCAAAAGTAAGGTCGACCGGCATTTATTTACGAGTTTCCAGAAAACCGGCGCATTTAAAATCCAGATTCTGCCTGCCTGCCTACAGCTTATACTTTGAAAATTCGTCAGATTCAGAAAATTCGTTAGAAATAAGTCTTCAGTTTACTGAATGCTATCATGTACAAATATGTTTCGAGTTTTACCTCCCACATCGCTATTAGGCATTCCATGTAGACCACCTAAGTCACAATGTGTCCCTAAGGCAAATAGCTATATAAATACCTAGGCAAGTAATACCACCGTTTCTTATATACGTAACTATGTAAACCGTGAACGCTTAAAGTTACGGACGAAAGAAACATATGTCACCACTGAAAATAAAGCCTTTGCTTTAACTAAAATCGCTTGCCTTTGTTAGGCTTTGCAAATGTAAACTGATCATTAATTTCAATGGAACTCACGACTAAAACGTGCGTTATTTAAAGAGTATGTCCATTAGATTTTTGTCAATATATACCGCTTAAGCATTATCGCTGATTATTATCTGTAATAATAATAAATGAAACGATAACCAGCATTGGCGCCACGCATATGTTAGCGCCGGCATTCCTATTACAAGAAACGCGAAGTTCAACTAGACATAAGGCGACTTCGGTTGTAAATGCAGAGAATAACCTTGACCTTAAACTTGAGCCCTGTACAGACGAATCACATCGTGAGGAATAGATGAAGGTTAGGCACCTATAGCTTAGATTGTAATCATACAACGCTTCTTGACTATCTCGCATAGCTTACTAGCCTCCGCTAGCAGCACTGGTAGCAGAGATATGTGGCGAGGAGTCATAAGCCAACCGGATAGAAGATGCTTCCTACCGAATAGCTAAAGAGCGGTGCACCCAATGGAGCTACTGTGCTCCGTTCGCCCCTAACGAAACCCCCTGTATCTGAGTTTGAGGGACTCGAAAGGGGTCCGTGCGAGAGGGCGTGAAGGCCACTGCTCGCGAGAGCCTAGTGTGCCCATCGTCCTTAGTCCAATGTGCTCATCGTCCCAATTTGGCTAGCAGGATACCTATACATGAATCTAGCTACACAACTTCCTAGAGTCTGCATTACTAGAAGTCGATTGATTCTGTACGAATGCGGTGTGGTAACTGTGAACGAACATCCGCATGTGTACACGTAAATGTTAGATGTTCGGTAATTACCGATATCCTGTCTCCAAGAAAAGTGGGCCTTGTGTTCTTTGTCCCCCCCATTTCTAGGCATACTTGTTTCACAAGGGTTAGTTGAAACAAATCGAGTAATAAACACAGTATCAGTTATTTCTGTACGTCCTTTATTGCGTCTACTGAACTTAATCGAAATTGGCAGCTTTGTTGCCATACCTTCCCCGTCCAATTAAATAACTGATACTATTCTACTCGACCGCTGCGAGAAACTTTTTGTAGTGCCTTTAAATTGTGTGGCAGTACATAACGTGGCCTTATAAATATTCTTTAAATATATCCAGACGATAGAGCCAAAGTACATACCTATAACCCTACTCAGGGGTTCCTTATTTATCTGTTTTATTACGTGCTGCGCATTACAGGCACGATGAACCTTTACAGTACTAGGGCCTATAAAAGCAGTATATGTTAATAATTATCATTATATATATAGATTTTTTAACGCGCTGGCGAAGTCTCTCGTTGTCGTATATGGAGAGAACGAAACATTTTACCGTCTTAAATCGAACAAATTAATGATTTTCTGCCTGGCGACCTAAATTTAAATAATTCCTTTATGAAGAAACATTACTATACGCAGAAAAACATTCTGACCCGACATCCGTTATGTACATTCCTGTAGATCCAACTCTATAAAACTTAAACAAAACATCGCGCTTCGTCAAATTATAGAAGACAATTAAATTGACAACAATTGGTGTCACGGGATACGTTAAATAGGTTCGATACAGACACACCCTTTGACTTAATCGATAAGCAATAAATGTTCACGATGCTATTCGTTTTCATGGACGCAAATATGAAAATGTCTTCTGAGCATTATATGCTTAAGACTTTTTATATGAGCCGATATCGTGTGTTTTCAAGACATCTACCACAATCAAATAAATTCCTTTGTTTACACATAGAATGCGGTACAACGCATGCACTTGTAGATTGGCTGTATGCCACTGTCATACTACAAATAAACTAGGAAAGAGATTAGGGCCAAAACATTTATTTTTAGCCATTCGAGCGATATTTCTTATCACAACGAGTAGGTACAGCTGCAGTGTCACCCCTTTGCCCCCTGTTCTCCTTCAGGATCATTTGAAAAGGTTGTTTAGATGTCTTTCTAAAAATATGGCTAATCGCATAGCATGCGCAATGTAAACAAAAAAAAGAACGCAGCGGCACGGGCCAAAGTGCGCGTGAGCATGTGTGTATATATGCTATTTGTGGCTAGTGAATAGACGAAGCCCCATCCATATGCATCGTGCAAACATAGCGTAATAGATGCGCATGCAGAAGTCGGACGCACTAACCACAGCAAAATCTTTATAGTTTGAACATGCGCTAGACAAAGCCGGTTTAAATCTCCACTCGTCGACCTTTACTTCATATTGATTTGATGTGGAGAACTGTAAGGCTCAAATCAAGAATAAGCGTGATACTGATTTTGTGAGTAGGAAAGAAATGATAACAGATGCATTATGCTTATTAACTGTCCTACATAAAACAAAGGTAAAATCCTTCAGACGATAGTGAAAGAGCCATTATATATAGATAAATTAATAAGGTGAGGTTATCAGTACATTTATGGTCAGGCACCTACATAGGTGAGAATTTGCTCTGTCAGTTCGACCCCTAGTGGTTAGAGATCGTTAGAGGTTGCACATCCCATAAAATTAGTTAAGTTTTGTACGAGTTAGTCCAATTAGCCTCACCTGATGAGCACTTGCGTCGCTTTCAAAACAAATGAAAACCACACACACTAATAAAAGTTCATTGTTATCTACAGCCTCATAAATCGGCATGGATAAATAAGTAGCTTAGTTAGTGTTTGTTATATGTGTACCCCCATGTAGTACAGCACACGAAACGTGTTTCTTCGATTTTGATGGTATTGTTTTTTATTAATTAAACCAAACTAATCTTTTTCATTCGATAGAAAGAACCCTGTTTTCCTAAATAAAGCTCATCTATGGGGATTTGATGTAACACTCCATTCTTCATCGAAGTTTACTTCTGTTGTCATTATACTATTGGGGGAATGTACGTTACCTTATATTGCCCCGTCTCGATTTGCTACGCCTTCACATGTCTGTGTTTGTGTACATATGTGATTTATGTGTACAGATCGAAAAACAATCAATATATAAAATCATACAGAACAATCATACGTCAATAATCGATATACGCAATATACTAGAGGCTGTCTTCTAAAGCCGATAGATAACGAATAATTTGAAGTGTACAACAGCAGGTGGAGAGAGAGGCAACACAATTGAAAGTATTCAACCTTTAGAAAGAAGAAGCGCCACCCAAGTTCTATGTTAGGTAAATGTTTTGTCTATTCTATCGAGGCAGAACTGCGTTTTATTCGGCTCATATGATAACAGCTTCAAAATTGGAACTCGTTCAAACCCATTTTGGGAGGATACCACTGTTAAAATCATCTTTCCGATTTTTGCATGTACGATTTTTGCTCTTGATATCAAACAAGAGTAAACAGCGACGATCAATGGACGACAGAAGTATCATACCGTATTTTATTGTTATTACGCGATAGGTTCATAGTAAATGGGGATCGCAGAAATCTACTTTTAATTAAAAAAATACTAACGAGTAGTTTGTTAACACAGTAATTGCCGGGACCATAAATAATAGTTTTCATGAACCTTTCATCAGACACCATTGTTACCAATATCTATAATTCTCTTCATCAATTTCATATCTCAATTTATGTGGTCATGTTAATGTTTTCTTACTAAAATATGCGGAATACCATTTTTTCATTATTTTTTTAGGTACGGAAAATATAGTTACTTAGTCTGAGCCGATTCTGCAAATAAAAAAGTAGGTTTCCTCCAATTAAAATGAAATCACACTACTTCCAGTTCAAAACGCAACGGGAATTATTCAACCTGACGTGATGTTCTATTCTGGTGGTCGGAACGAGACTTGTAAAAGAATTCATAACAGCTACAGCGGGACGGTCGCAACGACGATTGGCACCTGCGAGCAGGGTCTACTTCCTGCCACGCTATTAGGAACAGCAGCGAGTCCTGCGCATAGTCTAATGGCAGTGATACCGCCAACAATGGTTTTGCCCACTCCACTTCGACCGCTTTGCCCAGCCTATCAGGCTAGCCAGCCAGTCCAGCTCAAGAGTTCCGGGTGAGGCGTTTACCTATTTATAGGGCTTACTATCTCGTTTTGGCCTATTTCTATTGGTAATAAATTTATATAAGAAGTTGAACGTGATCGTCATTTGCCGGAGGTTTTCTGTGGATTAGCTTACACCCTTTTAGACGCCTATATCAATAAAACTTTATTTTCAGGTATTTCGGTGCATATCTTTTTAGTTTTCACTTCCGCGTTGATCTATTACAATATTTCTAGTAGCTATGAATAGCTCTATCCATGAGGTGTAGCTCTAAAAGGCTCGACTCAACCCAATAGGTCAGTTAATTGTCACGTCAAATATGTGAAAAATATTTTTCACAAAATAAAACCGTGCTACTATAACGCGAATGGAAAGCATCTAAACAAAGTAGTTATAAAACAAAATTTGTTCACCGTACGATGGTTCCTCTGAATCTTCTTGCAGCACTGACTTAGAATATATTGTCGTTATTATTTCGTTTGTAAGCCGCTTTCCAAGCAATACAAACTTGCTGTATGACACGCACATTTACAAATCAACTCGAACTTGCAAGTGAAATATGGACTTATCAGAAAATTTTTCAAGATAACTAGGTAATAAAGTTTTAAAAGTTATACGTAATAAAGTAATTACTTATAACCTAAAATCTAAAGTTATTGAAGAATGACATATTTTCGAAACTCCATTTCTGATACCATAATATGTTCACTATCTGATAAAAAAAGAAGTGCGTCAGAGCTTGCGCTGAGATTAATGTCGTTTCAGTTTTGTGATACCGTAGTTATCTTACCGCACTACCGGTTTAGGCCGAGGTTATGACGCTCTATCTTTATAAATTCCATTAAAAAACAATTAGGGAATGCCCTTTACACACCGCAGCTTTCTGTTTTTGCTCGCTATATCAGAGCTCGCTACAGTGACTCTGACATTTTCAGCCCTTCTCTACATTTTACAGGTATTTGGGTACATTGAGTGAAGAACTAGCGCTACCCCCGGGTTACCTTCAACATCGACTCAAGCTTCAAAATCATCAAATGACACCTGTGTACTCGTCATAGCAGCAGCAACAACAACAATAACGCTTCTAGTAATAAATCAACAGAAAAATGAGTCCAGTAGAAATTCTGCTTATAAGTATAGAATACAAGAAATTTCGTTGGTAGCTAACATCAGGTTTCATGCAGGCGTCTTTTTTTCCATATATGCGTTTAACATAATCTCTTAGACTTATTGCTTATTAAGGTATTATGCTGTAATTTGTGTATGATTAATTTCGGCCTAATTTGCCTGAAGATATCATTCCACTAGAGTAAAAGCATCAGCAACAGTTACCTGCAAGTACACTATTCAGTTGCCATCAACTCTAATTGCCTACACAACGTTGATTCATTAGCTTGCTGACTTCTGAGAATAAAAATAGAAAGAGGATCAATTCTTAAACGTCAGATTCTGTCCATCGTGATAGCAATGTCACGTGAAATGATCGTAAAGGACTATGCCGTTGGATGCATTAAACGTGTGGTATTAAACATCTGTATATATGTGATTTAAAACTTCAATGTCATAATATTGTTTAAGGAAAATGCAGTGATAATTAAAAACGATATTATTCGACTCTACAATCGTTAAAACAAGATATTATTTAAACCAATTAAGCCGGCAAAATATCGCTTGTATCGATTGCACGTTATCATCATTATGCACTAATTAATTCAGCAATGCACGTAATATGGACCCGTTGAACACATTCATAGAAACAACCGTTGTCAGGGGGTGGAACTACCAATTGTTGAGAGTTTTGTTTGCAGCCTTTTGATCTCTCGGTCGAAACGAAACAGAAGTGACTAAAAGCAAATATGTCTCCATTCTCACTGACACACATATGATGACACAGTGTTTAGGCATAGAATGCTATCGTGAGAACTTGAAGAGTGCTTACTGTTTTTGTATAAAACGCATCATGGAAGTATGTTGAGACAAACGTGTGTACAATAACGAACGGAAACGTTTGGGCTGAAAGCAAACCCACAATATATTAATATGATCACATCCTAACTATACAGACGTATGCATCGAATATGTATGGTTTCCAATGCTACGACATCTTTTAAGTCAGTACTATCAACAAACGTCGTGTGATTCTTCGAATGTATGCCCTCATGTGCGAAGACATAGGCTTCAAATTAATCGATTTAAAAAGGAATGACCTTCACAAAAATAAAACTTTTCTACTAGCGGTAGAATAATAGGGAAACATATATTATAGGAGGTGTACGAAAACCAAATAAACCGCTTGGCATGAATATATTTTGAGCAAAACCAAACCTATGTACTATACAAGAGCTTTTCGTTGTATGTCATGTTTATATACCTGCAGTTTATTTAATAAACACAGTTAACTCAATATATGCCTCGACAATGCCGAGCAATTTAGAATAGCAAATAATATGTGGAAACATATGCGAAAAAGTGTTATTGAATTTATGTCAGGGTCATTTGTTACGCAAACGAAATAAAGATACATGTATATTCACCGTAATTTATACTAAGCAGCAATTTGTTTTTTTCACTGATTTTTAAATGACAAACACTTTTTTACTTCTCGTATTAAAAAAATAAAACTAATTAAACTGCCAAGAAACTCAAGCTACCATGAATTATTCCTCCTTTTGCTTTAACGAACGAATAATTTTCCACATTCGTTGCCACTAAAGAGTGCTTCAAAAATATCTACTTGGTTTTTTAGGGGTGCTGGAACTAGTTTTCGTTCTCCCGAGTGACGTTAGGCTAGTTAAGGTCACTTTGTGATCAATGCTTAGTCATATTACCCCTAACGGCGCAGAGAAATAATCTTCTGCGTCTCTTTTTCTTCTAGAATAATCCTCTCTAAAGATCTCGTTAGCATTTGAACTATATAGTTACGTCCTTGCCCCTTGGACGAGGTTCTCATTAAATAAAGACTCGACCGATTACAGATCTGAAGCCCAAATTGCTATCTCTATAGGCAGATAAAGCGCTTGCTAGTTCGGTCAAAACATCCTATTGATAACAAAAAACTATAGAGCCTGATTTAAACGCCGCTAATTTCTACGAGGATAAATTGCTAAAGCCGTATTTTCAGAATAGACGGACCGCTCTTCGGGACTGTATCTTCCTCATGTTTTCCTTGACAAGTCAATTTCGAAGTTGATTTCAAGTGCCTATTGTTTTAAACGATGGATTTAGAACATGCCGGTAAGCTTCCTGAGATTATCACAGCGTTTGTAAATATAAACGACAACATCAGTACATTCACGCCTACAGTGCAATACATGTAAAGTTCATTCAGCTCGCCATATTTTACCAATTTGACACTTAGTCCACTTAGACAAAGCGAATTTAGACCTGACAATACGGCGATATAGAAGCTTGATAGTATAGGCACATCATATATTACACATCACATTGATCAGTACGAATTAAATCCTTTTTCGCGTTATGGACTATATCCATTCGATGCGCCTCTGTTGTTTTTAGACACGTTTTCTGATGTGCGGAAAAGAGTTAATGCGGACTGTTTGATAGCGCTTATTACCTTACTTGCTTTTATTCGTACTATTAATATAGTTTATTAACATTTGCTTCTGTCATATATAAAGCATGATGTTAATATCTTTTACATATTTTTGTTAAAATCTACTGAAAAAACTTTTGTTAAAAAAATTGGTGTACATATAGCTAGTAGCCCTTTTTCTCTCGGAAACGTTGCCGATTATCAAGTAGGCTCCTTTTACATTCAAACATAAGGTTCGCTAAAGAAAGACATTCTTCTGGAACGTTTCTCGATCTTAAGCAATCACGCATGGTTGATCCCTTTTTGACACAATCAGTTTTCTGAAATAACATAGACGAGAAATAAAATTAAAGAATGTTTAGCAGATACGCTATAATAAAACGCCCTTGGATGGACATACTTATGTACGATAAAATAATATCATATTCAGGTAGACGAAATCTCTGTCTTGACTGGTAAAGAGTAATGCCCATTGCCTTTGCAAACACTGTTCCATTTCTTAGTTCTATATCGTCAACCATCAACCAACTAACTTACTTTGAGACAATCCTTGAGGTCAATCCGAACGCCATGACACTTCCCATGCTTCACCAAGGCTTCGCCCTCTTCTGTATAAATTGGCATTTTGAGCAAACTTACGCAACTCTTACTTTTAGGCCTTACATGTATACACACCCTTTTTGTAATCGCTTTTCTATTAAAGTTGTAAACTTTCGTTGATGTTCATTCCGACGGAGATAGGTCCCTTTATATCCTGATGATTCTTCGTAATTATACCGTTTCCGTCTTCTTCCGAGTAAGTCAGGTATATGAGGCAGATATACAAACACCAAAGTCAACTATTTTACTGTCAGTTCTGTTTGAATATTTCTGGTGAATATTGGTAGTCCGTTATAACAAGTGATATTAAATAGCTTCCACCTTACACATACTTCATGGTAGAAGCATGTTTCTTACAAAGCCGACAAAGTTTGTTCTTTTTTACGATTCCTTTTTAGAAGCTTCCCTCACATAAAAAGCTTTCGCTACACTTTTTTTTACATAAATATTAATTAGAATTCCCTTAATTTTTAGTCGGCTTTAAAAAGATGTTAGTGGCTTCACATATTAACCACATTTCACCTCCAGTATAACACCCTGCAGGCTTTTAGGTTCTGGCTCAACGTATTAACGGCGTACTGGAGGGCTTGAGCTAATTTCGGGATGCCCCTCACTATACTTGACTACACAATGCTTAACGTATGTATATTGTTATAGTAGTGTCTGAATTATCGAAACTGATGGGTAATAAGTTTTGGCTTTCGGGTTGCCTTTGTCAATAATAGAGCTCAATATAGATGGATAATTACGAAACGGTCATTTGATTTATTAGAAAATATACCATTCATGGTTCGAGTTTGTGCTTTGTAAGGCGGTGATATATTTTGCCCTTGAAGCCTTTACAGATCATCACGTAGCATAACTTCGTTATGCTTGTGGTCACCAAAAGGTATAAACAGCACCACTAAACAATTCATATTTGTCAGTTGATTGATAAATAATATCCGACAATTCGCTTCGTTCAGATTCGGTGCAAGGTGCTGATACGTCACTAGGTAAAGACACCTTAATAAGGACGTGCTTGCCTACTATTCATAAGGACACGTGAGGTGATCAAGGTTTAAAGCCAGGCGTAGACATACTTTGGAGTAGAGAAAAAAACCAGCCGTCTGAAGTGATACTTCACGGCACTACCTGGAGTACAGTTCTAAACATTTATTTACGTCACAGGATGCCAACTAACCCCAAACGTTCGACAAATTTGCATCTTAACACAGTAATAGAATAAAATACGTGCATAAGAACTTTATCTACTTACCTGCTTAGGACAAATGTTTCTTGTATATTACGGTGAGATGTTTCAAATCTTCTTCAATTCATTGTTAGTACATGGGGAAAAACACCTTTAAACACACACGGAACTGGCATCGAACGCAAACGATTTCAAACAGGCTGGGACGGATAAACTCCGCGTTTGCGTCTAAATAATAGTTGTATCAGGTATAGGAATTTAATAGACGTATATTAGTTGTTAACCGTACATGTCTATGAAGTCTGTTTTTGTACACACAAAACTGATCAACTTAGTCTCAAATACACACTTTAGCGTGGTAGTGACCGGTCCGAGAGCTCTACCTCTCCTAGTGTGACTTAACGTTCCGCCGATTACTCGAGTTTCCGGAACTCTCCCTAAAGCGTAGAATGCACTCAGAATAAGTTATCCTGTTTAATACGTGCGTGCCGTTTTACAAGCGCTTGTTTCTCATGCAGCCCACATATTCATAGATACGTCTGTTACCAGCCAGTGTGACTATACTTAATCTAAATTAAACAATATTTGACTTAATGAAACGTTTTCTTTTCTGCAAAATAGTCATTTCGCGGGCACACGGCGCGACCTGTGCGTTCAATATTCGCCGGGACAACTCGTGTAGCTCAACCTAGTCAATTGAGACATAAATGCCTCCATGTATTTATAGACAATTACACTCCGTCGAAGTTTTCGCGTAGTACTACGTTTTGCGACGTGTTTTAATGCAGTGTAAAAATATATTGTTACAAGATAATAACAAATGTGTGGAAGTAGGAAAACGTTAACATAAAATGAGAAATGGATCAATTATTGTCAAGGTAAGTGTTTTCCTATTGTAAGTAGTATCCTATAAGTAAGTCGAAATCGACAGCGGAAAAATAGCTTGTCAGTCAATATCATTTTCGTTATTGACAGAAATCTGATAGCAAATATATGTCGTTGGTGGGCTTGAAGCAGCGATCCCTAGTTTGTTTCAACCATAGGTTTGGCCGTATGAGCCACCAAGCAAAATTATTTAATATAAATACGAATTACTGTAGTACGGCGGTGACTTTACTGCTTGATTTATTGGTAACTACTAGGTACAATTGTGAAACGAATATCAACTGTTCGATTATCAAAACCCAGTAAAAAGCAAGTGTGTGCTACAACGAATCGCTCTCTCGGTCTATGTATGGCTACCATATATTTATTACATAATTTTAATATAATCTTAGTTGTGTTTGACACTAAACGTCGGTATTATAAATTAATATGTGTAATAGACTATATAATCCAATATTATCTTTATTACATATACAACACATAGCGGTCTCAGCCATTATCCAGCACACACATATATATTAGGTAGGACAAAAGTGAAGTAAACATTTCTTATATTTGAACATAATATTATTAAACTAGATATGCCCCACTTCAATCGATGCAGACCGGTTTCCGTCCTTGGAGTTGCACTTCGTGATCGGCAAAAATTTCACTGCGCACGTCACCGAAAGATGCAGGGACGCAGTGTCGGCCGAACGGACAATGGAATCGGCTTATTAGTGTGTCTTTAAGAGCTCATATCGCAACGCATAGGATCTGCGTAATTTAAGCAGGTCTTCAGTGGAAAATTCTAAACAAGTAAATCTTATCAAAGCCCGCTTTTCTGAAAGAGCACTGGCACTACACACAGTGACCGAAATCACTTAGCTTACCTTTTAGCAGATTCGCCACTGCCGTCCGAGGACCTACGTTGTCACTTTGAGCTTTTAGTAACCGAAGTCTTCAAGACGAAGTTTAGAAACCGGGAGCAAAAATTCGCGGAAACTGAGGGATTTTTTCATTTCGGCTGCTATAAGCACTCCGCAGGAAACCATGTTTCCATGAGCCTGACGATATATGTATATGCTCCAGATGCGGACTAAATCGTGACAGATTTTGTACAGCTGGTTGCGCCGTTCTACCATCTCTAGGATATATGGCAAATCTTTCAAATTCGTTTTATAAACTCACCAAGACTCTGAGAATCTATATGACGTAAACTATTTTAAATGGTTCTATATGTTCTCTCTGACATTTGAATATTGTTTTACTGACTTGGATTTATCAAGTTTTCAACTATTAGCAGCAAGGGTGAATAAATAAATTTTGATTTATTTTAATTTATGACCTTCTGCTATGTTTTTGGCCACACTGTAATCCCATCACGGTATGACTTCTGTAAGCTTTAAACGAGAAATTGTGACGAATGATTTTTGCATCCTTCCTTTAAACTAAATTGACACTATTAAGCAAATTTTGCAGAGACCAAAACGAACGATGGTCCAATGACAGAGAGTGTAAGATCCGGGCTATACGGCGGATGCATTAGAATTCTTCATCCAAGCTTTGCCGTTTTTATCAGGTAGCTGGAGCTATATGTGGCCTGGCATTATTAGTGTAAAAGACAACGCTTCTGCTCATTTGTAATTTTACAAGTCATTGACAGTTTTATTGGCTGTTGACAGTAATGGCCTTAATCAGTCGTTCGACCAGGCGGCAGCACCATATAATCTCTCAAATGCGCCAAACAAAAGCATCTCTCTTTTGCCACAAATTGTAAAGTAATTTTCCTTATTATTATTTTTTATCTGCACATCACCCGCAAGAAATGACTTGATTTCGTAAAGAAGCGGCTACGAGAAGCATTTGTCACATAGAAATTTCCAGAATAAGAATATATGCACATATATATGATTGCCTCCTGATATATTATCTGTAATTTAATTCCCTGTATATTAGAAAGCTCTAGCAAGATAATGCTAAATGACCCTCGATAGGCAGTTTAATTATGTTGGCGGTTTCACAGATTGAATTCGCTTGCTGAACGTTTTTCATACTTCAGTGCTTCGTATTTTTATTATCTGATTCCATTCAATTATAAAATCCTTTTTTTAATCATTTGTGATTGTAGAACCCTTTGCCATGTAGCGTCCAATTCCTATGGGCTGCTGTATTTGAAAGTAATGAGAATCAAAATAATTCAAAACAAATTAATCATAACGCTCCGGTGAACCTGTTTAACAAATAGAAAATGATTATGCCATCCTGTGTGCTATCGTAAATCATTACTAATCCACCATGAACCTAATACGTCTCGTTTATGTGGGGGAATGCGCCATTTATGTCAATATCTGCTCAGCTTGCTTAAAGGCGCTTACAGTTACCTATTTTAAGCTTATATAAGTTGCTACGGTTGTTGTTTAATTAACTTCAGTTGATTATACGTCTAGGGGAAACTTACAATATTATCTTAACCTCTAGAAGAGATTTTATCCATCGATACCGTACGACAGTTATATTTTTTGAGGATATAACAATAGCAAAAGCTCTATTTTATAATTAATTCGTAATTGACTATGCTTAAATACTAAGCCGTGATAAACCTGTTTGGAAAAGACCTAGCACGGCTTCAAAGAAATCGTAATTTCTTTCGATATTTGTCGTATTTTTACAAAGTAATTTTAATAAGCGGAAGTGTTTATCAGATCGAAAATTTAAATTGTTAGGGTTTTATAACCTTCTCTACTCATACGAACTGTGTTGTTATATAGTGGGATTTGAAGCAGTAACCCCTGGTCTCGTTCAATAAGGTGCTTGGCCATCATCCAAGCTAGTAGTCGACAAGTTTTTACATTGTGCACTAGAAATCGCGTACGTTTTGATATTTGTGACTGTAAGCTGGTTAAGTGTTATCATGGAATAATGAGTTAGCTCTTAACCTGAACTAAAGGGTTAAATTTATGTTTTTCGAAGACGAAAATGCCGGTCCACCATACTGAACCACTGAATATCGTTAAAACACTGGGCAAGGAGGCTTTCAACGAAACACCTTTTAGTTACTAATGCAATAATTTTAGCAATAGAGATCGAGAGGTTGAAGATTGCAGAAAAAGTAATTCCATCTCAAACGGAACATAGTTATATTTTCAGTGCTGAACCACCTTTGCCTTACAACTTTAATATTCTCATCTTATAGAGGTGCATATTTATATAGTTTTTCGACCCGCTAAGTAGCAATTTTGAAGAAAGCTTTCACGCATACCCCAGCAACTGGATGCGATGCATGTAAACGATTATACTTCACTTCTTGATGAAACTGGTAACAAAATAATCGAAGAGTAGCCAATCCCGAAAAGTACTTACTGAATTAAGTAGAGTTTGTCGATATTTACTTGAGCTTACATAAAATCTTTTATGCAGCCATCAAAAAAGAAATCCTTATAGATCTAGTGTGTTTTTACTTAACGGGAGCACATGGTGCTAAATGCTTAGTAGCACTAATCAAGTAAATAGCATAAGGTCCCTGCGTAGAGCCTTTAAATACACGTCGAAGCGACGTGATGTATTAATATATTCTTAGTAATTGATCGTCTAAACAAGCAGTTGATTCACAGGACTGAAATACTTATTGGCTCTTGACGTATAACTAACTGCGACGTGTCATGATGATCTCACCCTAAAAGTAATTGCTATAATGACGATGATTTATTGTCATTATTGAAAAGCAGAGTATAGAAAACGTTTTGTTGTTCGCCGTGTAATTTTCTACAAATACTATTGCGATCCTCTCAATTTGCGGATTTGCATTATACACGCAACATCTTATTTTGTGGAGCGAGAATTACACTGTCCACCACTGGTGAAGGTTTTTAATTGCAGAGCAGATTTATTCTGCGAACACCTAATATTTCAGCCGTGAAAAAGTGCAAGTTTGAATAGCTAACTATCTATGTGCATATTCCGAAATATGGTATCAGAATACACGACGCTATAATCATTCACAGTAGTAGACTAGCTTAAAGTCTGTTTGTTCGCCTGATTATAAATCAAATATAATTGGATAATTACCAGGCGCAAAGCGCGTGGACCTAATTGGTAGACACGCTAGAACGTAAAGAAAGTGGTGTACAATACGCTACCGTTATCATTTCTTTTAATTAGTTACCCGTTTAAATGGCCAAAATCGCGAGGTTTTTCTAGTCTAGTTTGGGCTTATTACCAGGTCTTTAGTTCGATCCGTATTTAGCATCTAGTAAGCTCTTCAAATAATTCGAGGCATTAATTTTACTTCA